CCAGTTTCGGTTTTTTCCTTCTCTCTTCTCCGCTCTCTAAAAATAAATGAAAAAATACCTTCAGGTGAGGATTAAATACACACACACACAAACACACAAACACACACACACACACATAAATATATATATATATTTATATTAAAAAACAGATAATAAAATAAAAAAAATTTTAAAGTATTTATATTTAGGCCTAATCACAACTGCACATATGGGTCTCTTTGGCTCCCTAGCACTGAAACAAATGAGACCAGAGATGAGGAGCAAACAAGGTTTTAGAGTCATTAAGACCCAATGACCAGGAAGACAAACAGATCCCATAGGTTACCAAGGCATACTGCCTAGATTTAGCATTAGAATTCAGATTTAAAATCTTCTATGTTATTTTATTAAATTAGTTAACATTCCAATAGTAGTTTTATAAAATGTGACAGTCTTATTTTTTCACTCTTAAGCTATTTCATTTTAGTCTGTATAGAAAAAGTAATTGAAATGTATCTTACCATACTTGTCTCCATTTGGAAATATAAAGTTTATCTTATATACTTCTTCAGCTGTTTTAAAAGATTTAGAAAAAGTCACATAAATTTAAATATTTTTATGTCATAATACCTATAACAAATGCACTTTAAAAGCTAAACAAATAGATTGACTTCATATGATCACAAGCATGTCATGATAACTTGACATTATATTATCCAGTGTAGGGTCTTGGGAAATAATTTTGTCTAGATGATCTATTTTTATTTATTTGTTCGTTATAACAGCTTTTTTAAAATAGAATTTACATACCACAAAACATACCCTTTTATAAAATTCAATATCTTTAGGATATTCAGAGTTGTGTAACTATTACAATCTAACTTTAGAATATTTTAATCACCCCAAAAAGAATCATTTACCATTCTTAGCTATTTTCCATTCCCTTAATTCCCCACTCCCACCTAACTCCACGCCCACCCCCATCCTGGCAACCAATAATCTACTTTATTTCTCTATGGATTTTCGTATTGTGGACATTTCATATATGTATGAAATCATAAAATATGTAGTCCTTTGTGATTGGCTTCTTTTACTTAACAATGTTTTCAAGGGTCAACCATGTTATAGCATGCATTAGTATTTCATCTCTTTTTATTGCTGAATAATAGTCCATGTACAGAAATAACAGATTCTGTTTATCATTCATCAGTTGATGGACAGCTGGGTTATTTCCAGTTTGGGCGGCTATAAATAATGCTACTATGGACATTCATATAAGTTTTTATACAGACAAGTTTTTATTTTTCTTGGTTAGCCTATATGATCTGTTGATTGTCTCAGAGGTAAGGTAAAGAAAGGAATCTCTGACTTGGCAGAAGGAGGAAAAAGAAAATAAAGGCAGTAAATGATGAGGGGTGAGTGTGGGGGTGAGCAAAAAGAATGAGATTGGACTGGAGGCCAGGTAAAAAAGGGAGAAACCAAGGGCTGGGGTGGACCTTTGCCTCAGCACTGAGACATTTAGTGGTCTAAAATATTAAACTATTGGGCTGAAACCGGTTTGGCTCAGTGGTAGAGTGTCGGTCTGCGGACTGAAGGTCCCGGGGTTCGATTCCGGTCAAGGGGATGTAGGTCAAGGGGATGTACGTTGGCTGCGGGCACATCCCTGGTGGGGGATGTGCAAGAGGCGGCTGGTCGATGTTTCTCTCTCATCGACATTTCTGGCTATCTCTCTTCCTTTCTCTCTGTAAAAAATCAATAAAATATTTTAAAAAAATAAAATAAAATATTAAACTATTGGGAAAGCCTATGTTAAAAATAAATAAACTCAAACTTCTAGAATAGTCTACTAGATTGTTACTCAAAGTATGGACCATGCAAGTTTCTAGGCTCTACCCTAAATTACTGAATCAGAATCGCTATGTGTGAGGCAAGAGAACTGATAATTTTTAATTTAAAAGTTGCCAAAATTGGTTTGGCTCAGTGGATAGAGCGTCAGCCTATGGACTGAAAGGTCCCAGGTTTGATTTCGGTCAAGGGAATGTACCTTGGTTGCGGGCACATTCCCAGTGGGGAGTTTGCAGGAGGCAGCTGATCGATAATTCTCTCTCATCGATGTTTCTAACTCTCTATCCCTCTCTCTTCCTCTCTGTAAAAAAAAAAAAAAAAAAAAAAAAAAAAAAAAAAAAATCAATAAAATATATATTTTTTAAATTAAAAAAATTTAATTTAAGTGCCAGTTGAGAAAAGCTAGAGACTCATATTCTCTGAGGAAACGAAGTTAATAACACAATATGTAGAAGAGTTTAAAATACTGTAACGTCCTTGAGATGGGAGCTGGTGGTTATGAAAAACCACCAATTAGCAGTCTAGAAAATAATTGATTAAAACTCCTTGAAGGGCTGAATGGCAAAGATACAATTGGAAAAATAAATTAGTGAACTGGATTACGAGGTTGAAAATTTTCCCCAGAAAGAGGAACAAAGAAAAACAGCAAAACCTTTCTTACCTTCCCTCATTCCCCCTCACCCCCCCCACCCCCTCATCCCCTCATCCCCTCATCCCCCCCATTCCTCTAGGAGCCCCACAACACTCTGGCCTAGCCCTCCACCGCGCGCAGGGCCCTATTAAAACACAACGCTTTTGTGCACAACCCCCCATCCCTTTTAGGTCAGGGATCACGGATCAGCCAAATTCCTTTTCTCACCCTTGTGTCCAGCTCAGTCATTAGCACTTCCTAGTAGGAACAGGATGTCCAGTGAATGAACGGCACTTGGAGAGCAGCCGTTAAATACAGAGCATTTAACTTGAGCGCACATTTAACGAGAAACCGAACTGTATTTCCCATTGCTCTTAAACGCTTCCACATTGGAAACCTTGGAATGTAAGAGCTGGGAGGACCTGAGAGGCGGAGGCCGTCCGGCAGCGCAGAGGAAACTGAGACCCAGAAAAGTCGGCACCACGGCGAAGCCCCCTCCCCGCGCCGAATCGGAGCTGGAATCCCCGTCTCCCGGTCCTCGGGGAAGATGCTCCCCGCGCCCCGTCCCTCCCCAGCCCACCCCCAGCGGGCGCTCAGGAAGTGTATCACGGGTGGCGGGCCGGGGCGAGCTCCCTGACATCTGAGGCGCCCTCCCCGGCTCGGGGCGCCGGCGGGGGCCCCTCACCGGGCAGGAAGGTGCTGGAGAGGTTCTCTGGGCTCTGCGATTCCCCCGGAGCCGCCAGCTCCTCGGCGCGGAGGGAGCCCGGCGCGGGCGCGGCGCAGAGCGCGTCTCCGTTGCCGGGGCGACCGAGCACCTCTCACCCGGAAGCGAAAGGGCGAGGGGCCAGGGCTGAGCCAATCAGAAGGCGCCAGGGCTGAGCCGCCGCCACCGGGCCGCAGCCGAGCAGCTCCAGGTGAGACCTGCGAGGGCGGCGGCACCCGGCGGGATCCTCGCCCCGGGGCGCTCTCCGCCGCCCGCCACCCGGGAAGCGGCGCTGCGGGCCGAGCCGGCGGCGGCTCCCCCGCGGCGGCCGAGGGGTGTGTCCGTGTGCGCGGGGTGCGCGTCGTCGTCGTGTCCCGGTTGTCAGTGTGCAGCCCCGTCTACCGCCCTCCTCCCCCGAAGCGGTGGTCGGGCTCTGAGGACCCAGCTGTTGGGCAGGGTCGCAGGCCCCGGGCCCGGGCCCGGGGGGGGGGGGGGTCGGAGGCCGAGCTGGCCCCGCCTGCGGGGGAGCGGAGTTCGGGCTGGGAAGGGGAAAGGGATGGATCGGAGGGGTCAGGTTTCGTTTCCTGTCTTCTCCATCTCAAGCCAAATGGCTGTTTGGGGGGCGTTGCATGCTCGGGGGTGGGGAGGGGGGGAGGGAGGGTACCTGGTCTGGGTGTCTGCATGGAGCTGGCTAGATGGAGCCAGTCGGGCTGGATGGGGTCAGTCGGAGGTTTGCCTGGAAGGGGAGTGGTGTGTGTCAGTGCTGAGTGCCCAGCCTAGCGATTCTGTGCTCAGGAACCAAACCTGGGCGTGAAACAAAGGATACTTCTTGCCGCCAAACTTAGGCCCCTGTGTCCATGGTGAAAAAAAAAAAAGATAGCTGAAATCGCCCTATGCAACATGGGATAGAATAGTGGAGCCTGTCTATATGGATTATGCAACACAGTTCCTGTCCCCTGGAAAACGGCCCAAGAAAGTCATATTGGATACAGCCCGCAAGTGTAAATGTAGAATTTGAGAGCAGATCTCGGATGGAGTTGTAAAGGTAATACTTTCAGGGGTTGGTGTGAGACAAGTTGTGGATCACTCTTTAGGCAAGCTTGCTGTGGCTTGGGAATCGATAAAATATTGATTGATTTGAGAGAGAAACACTGATTTGTTCCACCCGTGCATTCATTGGTCAGTTGTATGGTCCCTTGACACCCCTGCAATTAGCTAGTATTTAATGATAGAGAGGAGCAGTGGGAAGGCCAGATGTTACAGGCAGGTCATCTGGGCAGCTTCACCAGGAAGCCACAGCCGTCCACTCCCCAGAGCTCTAAGGGAGGAGAGACTAAGGGAGAAGAGAGGTAGCCCTCTAAGGCGGGAGGGGTCGAGGGAAGGGTCTGGGGACAGAAATGGTTGTCCGGAATGGGTGTGGCCAGTGCTTGGGCTCTAAGGTTTGGAATACATAGTTCCCTCACCAGAGGAGCCCTCTTTCTCCGTTCTCTTGGGACCCCTGTGACTCTGGGCTTGTGGGGCCCTTTCGCTCCTGCTTCCCTGCATTCGCCCACTGAAAAACTGCAGGCATTTCCTCACTGGCCTCTGGTTTCTCCTCCTCACTACCACCACCCAGTCCTTTTACTCTTCGCCCAGCACTTAAAGTATTGGTTTTAAAGCATAAGTCAGTCCTCTCCAGCTTTTTTCCTCAATGGAAAAATATCCTCAGGTGAGGATTAACAACAGCTCAAATAAACGAGCTGCTTTTAAAAACAGGCTACCTTCGTAACTTTGAAAACAAAGAATTATTGTACTTGTCTGGTTTCATGAGGTCCGTGTTCCTTTTTGCTCTTGCAGGTGAAAATGAGTTCTTCGGGAAGAAGAAAAGGCAAGCCAGGCAAAGGCAGCGGGAAAGGGTCTTCCAGAGGAGGAAGAGGAGGCAGGAGTAACGCCAGTAAATCTCATGGCGGTGGCGGCGGCGGCAGCGGCGGCGGTGGCAATAGGAAGGCCTCAAGTAGGACTTGGGATGATGGCGATGACTTTTGTGTCTTCAGTGAATCAGGGTCCTCAGCCAGGTATTGTGCTCCCTGAATGTTCAGATACGGAAACTCAGAGAAGGGGGAAGAAAAGCCAAGGCATTCCGCTCAAGTTAATTCTTCCTCTTACTTTAAAACCTTGCAGTCCCCCTCTTTATAATATAGTCTGAAGGCATGATGGCAAATAACAGCTCTTTCTTTTTGCAAGTTCAAAATGTGAAATTAACCTGAACTTCCACATGACACTGTGAATTGAGTATAATATCATTATTTGTAACCAATGTTACAAGGAAAGTAAATATTGGAAATGGGGAAAGTAATGCAAATTATTTTAAGTACTAGAGACCCAGTGCATGAAAATTCATGCACTTGGTGAGGGGAGGGGTTGTCCCTCAGCCCAGCCTGCCCCTCTCTCAGCCTGGGACCCCTCGGGGGATGTCCACCTGCTGGCTTAGGCCTGGGACCCCTCAGGAGATGTCCACCTGCTGGCTTAGGCCTAATCTGGCAGTTAGACATCCCTCTGGCAGCCCGGGTGATGTCTGGCTAACGGTGGGGAGCTGGCCTAAGCCCTTAGAGGGACATCCTTAGCACTGCTGCGTAGGCAGGAGAGGCTTCGATCACCACAGCTGTGCTGGCCAGCCATGAGCCCGCTTCTGGCTGAGTGGTGCTCCCCGTGTGGAAGCACACTGACCACCAGGGGGCAGCTCCTACATTGAACATCTGCCCCCTGGTGGTCAGTGCATGTCATAGCAACCAGTCTTTCCTGGTTGTTCCACTGTTAGGGTCAATTTGCATTTGACCCTTTAATTACATAGGTTGTCTTAGGTTATATAGTTTGAAGGTTCCAGTATGTGGCCTGGTTGGACCCTGTCTTTTTTTTTTTTTTTTTTTTTTTTTTAATCAATCTTTATTGTTCATATTATTACAAAGGTTCCTCATTTCTTCCCCCCTCCATCAGGTTCCCACCCCACCCTCTGCCCCCTCCCTATCCCCCATTGTCCTCATCCATAGGTGCAGTTTATGATCAGTCTCTTCTTCCCTCAATTTCCCCAATAGTAAATCCCTTATCAGATAGTAAATCAGTTACTTAGCATTTTCTCATATCAATAATATCTCCACATGCCCAATGATACACTTCACACAAAAGACATTTCCCAATAGGTCCACTAGCCTCATACAGGCCCCACCCAAGGCACTCACAGATCAACACCCCAGTCCTAAACTAACTCAACACATCCAGATCTAAGCCTTCATCACTTGATTCAGCAGACCCTCAAGTTCCCACGAAAGTTTCCAGCCATGTCTGAGAAGCAGCCGTGGGGCAGGGGCAGGCGAGAAGTGAGCTGTTCTGGGCCTGGCTGCTCAGGGCCTGGCCTCTGTTGCTCTGGTTCATTCCACAACCAGCTGCTCCGGGTCTGGTCACTGCCGCTCCCGACCTAGTTGCTCTGGACTTGGCTGCTGCTGCTCCAGGCCTGGCCGCACCCGACCCGGCTGCTCCCCCGGGCCTGGCCGCTCCCAGCCTGGCAGCCGCTGCTCCGGGCCTGGCAGCACCCGACCCGCCTGCTCCCCCGGGCCTGGCCGCTCCCAGCCTGGCAGCCGCTGCTCCGGGCCTGGCCGCACCCGACCCGCCTGCTCCCCCGGGCCTGGCCGCTCCCAGCCTGGCAGCCGCTGCTCCGGGCCTGACCACACCTGACCCGGCTGCCCCGGGCCCGGCTGCTCCGAGCCTGGCCACTCCCGACCTGGATGCTCTGGGCTTGGCTACTGCTGTTCTGGGTCTGGCTGCTCCCACCTCGGCTGCTCTGGGCCCGGCTTCTCCGGGCCCGGCCACTCCGGGTCTGGGTGTTCCTGGACTGGCCACCCTGGGCTTGGCCGCCTCCGCCTCATGCCTGGCTGCCACTGCCCCAGGTCTGGCTACTCCATTGCTGGCTGTTGATGCTCTGGTTCTGGCTGCTGTTGTTCTGGGGCCTGGCCGTTGCTGCTCCGGGTCTGGCTGCCACTGCCTTGTGCCTGGCCACTCTAGGCCTGGCCGTCGCTGTTCCAACATTTTGTCCTTTTTTTTTTCTTTTTTCTTTTTAAAACGCATTTATGTTGCAATGTTGGCTGGTGAGTTGAGTTCTGACTTAGTCTTTGATTTTTCAAGATCTTCTTTGTATTCTTTCTTAAGTAATTTTACTATTTTTTGCTCTCACTTGATTTCTTCACATTGAGAACTTTTTTGGTTTCTTCCTCCTTGTCCTGGGAGCTCAGCAGGTTGGCCTGTGGCACCCCTTTGTTCTGCGCGGGCTCCTGCGCTGCTTCAGCCTGTTGGCTGGACGGCGCCGCCCAGGAAGCAGCCCCCGGCCTTGGCTCCATTGCCCGAGCTCAGTGGTCAAAGTCTCAGGGGCACCCATGCCCCCAGGGTCCCCGTGGCCCGCCTCCTTGCTGGTGCCCGGTTGGCTGGCGTCCGGCAGGGGCTTCCGCTCCCCTCCGCGTTCCCCCAGCCTGGAGCTTTTTTTCCCCTCCTTCCTGCTAGAGAAGTCCAGCATCAGAGTCAACAGACTGTCCTCTGCGCGCAGTTTGCGCGAGTCCCGGGGGCCCGGCCTTTCGCCGCTCTCCCCAGACTCCACCTCACAGCCCCGTCTCCCTCTGCCTGAGCCTGGGTACCCAGAGATTAGCCCAGAACTGGGGTTCAGAGCAGTCCGGACTGAGGCTCAGCGCCGCCGGAGGCCTTGTTTCTTCCGGCTAGGGCAACCCAGCATCAGAGTCAACATTCAGTCCTCTGCACGCATTGCGCGCGACTCCCGGGGCCCTGCTTTTCGCCGTTTTTCCGCCTCAGGGCCCTGTCTCCTCCCACCGGAGCCTGGGTCCCCAGGGTCTGGCCCATAACTGGGGCTCAACGCTGCCGGTTCGGGGGGGCTCAGCGCTGCCGGTTCGGGGGTTCAGCCCAGGCTGGGGGTTTTATTTCCTTCCTGCTAGGGAGGGAAAGGCAGCACCCCGCCCTCTCCTCCTCTCCGGCTGCGACCTCTCCGTGCGCGCGTGCGGGCGGGCATGCGCGCAGCATGTCTCCGTACCTTAGGCTCTTTTTCAGCTCCTCTGATTTTCTTTCTGGTTTTCTCTTTCCTTCTTGTTGTAGAAATTTCAGTCAGTCGACTACCTGTAGCTCTGGGCAATGTCCACTCTACATTTTAGTTGTATTCCATTGAAATTGTTGTGTGCTGCCGCGGCTAGATGTCTACCCGAGCAGCCATCTTGGATCCTCCTGGACCCTGTCTTTCTAATTGATAAATGATCTCTTTTCCAAACAGATTGACCAAATCTTCACCGGTGCATCACCTGATAACCAGTGATATCTGGGCTTCTCTCATAGTCAATTTTTAAATAATGAATAAAGTCTGATAATCTTAATGAATATCTAATGAGCGTAAAGATGTATAGTACTGCATACTATGCAATATGTATGTAAAATTGTAATTGTCTCTCAAATTGCCCTATGAGTTTTCTATGAGAATTCTTAGAGATGGAGATTTCTTTAGAGCCACACACACACACACACACACACACACACACACACAATTCTGAGAATAATTCTCAGTAAATATTATTAGAAGGAATATAGATGAGTGCTAAGGTTTAACTGTATCTTACTTGCTTTTAGTAACTTAAATGAATTCAACTATATGCATTCAGGAAAAAAAGGGAAACAGCATTTAAGTAGTTTAAACTTGCCACTAAAGGAATCTGAGTCCCATAGTGAGCAAGAAATGGAGAGGAATCTGCTACTCCCTCAGTCAGTCTCAGTTTTGCGAGTGCTTCTGGAGTTCTGATGTGATGAGTATATGATGTTTGGATTTTAATATATATTTTATTGTTTTGTTACAGAGAGGAAGAGAGAGAGATAGAGAGTTAGAAACATTGATGAGAGTCATCAATCAGCTGCCTCCTGCACGCCCCCCACTGGGGACGTGCCAGCAACCAAGGTACATGCCCTTGACTGGAATCGAACCTGGGATCCTTCAGTCCACAGGCCGACGCTCTATCCACTGAGCCAAACTGGTTTTGTCTGATGTTAGGATTTTAAAAATATGTTTTTCACACAAGTGCCTATCACACAACCAAATACTTCATATGGTATTCAAATGATCATTTTGGACATATTGAGAAATAATATAGCCATCTCAAACTTTATACCATTTTAAGGACTTTTCCAAAGTAATTTAAACTACATTTTCACCTTAGCTTCTGACTTAAGAGTCCAATTTCTGAGTTGAGTGCAGTGCCATTCATTTTGAAAACAAGACGGTTCTTGCCGTCTTAGATGGTCACTCAGACAGCAAATATTGACTGAGTGCCTACTGTGCACCAGGGACTGTCCAGGGACTAGAATTACAGCAATGAGTAAAATACTGTCCTTGCCTTCCTAGAAGGAGATTTGAGGTATAAAGACCATAAATAAATATGTACTGTTTCAGGTGGTATGGAGAAAAATGAAGGCTAGAGGGATATAAAATACCAACATAGATTGCTGGTATTTTCAGTAGTGGCTATTTTATGCACAGTGATCAGAGAAAGCTTCTCTCATATGTCATTTGAGCAGGGACAAGAAGGAAATGAAGGAGTGAGCTATGATACTAGCCGAGGGAACAGCGTTCAAGGCAGAGGGAATAGCAATTGCAGAGTCCCTAAGCCAGGAGGATGCGTGGAAGGTTTAGGAAATGGCAGGGAAGCCAGTGGCTAGAGTGAATGGACAAAAAGGAGAGAGTTATAGGCAGTTAGATGTGAAAGGCTACACTTTGTATGGGCCATTATGGAGGCTTGTGCTTTTGCTCTGAGTAAGATGGGAAGTCATTGCAGGGTTTAAGGCAAGGGTGTGTGACATGAATCACTCCGATCAGAGGTGCTGCTACTCAGTATATGCCTTTATGTGATTTAGAAAGTGCCGTCCTTTCTTTGGGCTCTTGTAGCCTCAGGGTGCATGATTTGGTGAGTACAGCATGAACTGGCGTTTCACTCTTGCTTTTCCCTCCTCCCTCACCCATCTCCCACCGCTGCCAGTGTACAGTCTGTGCAGTCACACTGAGTAGCCCTGACTCAATATTGAGAATAGACTACAGGGGGCTGGGTTAGAACTTGGAAGACCGGTTGGGAGGGACTCTTCGAGTGGAGCTGTGTTTCTATCTGTGTGGACAGTGTTAAGAACGGGTGAATCTAGATAGAAGGTGCTTATCTTTGTAGGTTTAAAATTTTTCCAAACAAAATGTTAGTGAAAGTTATGGATTTGAGGTAGCATTTCTTTTCTGAGGTTGCAACTAAGTAGTTAAAAACGACATTCAACTCTTATTTCTCCTTTGCTTCCCCAGTGGTTCTTATCAAAGTCTCTGAAATATGTTGCATTTAAATACAGACAACATTTCTTCCACTTTCCTAGATTTGTAAAAATGTATAACGAAACATGCCCACCCCTCTAAAAAAAAAAAAAAGAGAGAGAAAGAAGAAATTTAGTGAATAAAGTTAAACCTTAAAATTTATGATTTAAATATTAAAATGAATCCTTTAAAAAAATCTAAATTCCAACAATGAAAGGTTGGTGAAATAAATTCTAGTACATCTATATCTATAAGTAACCATTTAAAATTATGTTTTAGGAGAATGTTTTTAATTTAAATTCTTTATTGTTTAAAATATTACATGAGTCTCCTTTCTCCCTGCATTGATCTCTCCCTGGGCGCTCCCACCCCCTCACGTGCCCTCATCCCCTCACTGTCTGCGTCCATTGGTTATGCTCAGGTGCATGTACACAGGTCCTTTGATTGACTTCTTACCCCCTCACCTCCCATCCACTCCCTTCCCTCATAGGTTGGGTGGTCTGTTCGATGTTTCTATGTCTCTGGTTCTATTTTTGTCCATCAGTTTATGTTGTTCATTATATTCCACAAATGAGTGAGATCATGCGATATTTATCTTTCTCTGACTGGCTTATTTCGCTTAGCATAATGCTCTCCAGTTCCATCCATGATGCTACAAATGGTAAGAATTCCTTCTTTTTTATAGCTGCTTAGTATTCCATGGTGTAGATGTACCACCGTTTTCCTAATCCACTCATCTACCGATGGGCACGTAGGCTGTTTCCAAATCTTAGCTATTGTAAATTGTGCTGCTATGAACATAGGGGTGCATATATCCTTTCAGATTGGTGTTTTTTGTAGGAGAATATTTAATTTTAGAGAAATGTCAGCTTAAACTTGATAGTGAAATAAAGCAAATTATAAAAAATATATGCTGTACAATTTTTAAAAGATGTATATGAAAAAGATAATGTTAATTAGGGTAACCTCTGTTTTTTTTTGTTGTTGTTGTTGTTTTTTACTTTTCTACAGTGAACATGTTATTTTTTATGATCAGGAAATAATGATACTTTTTATGATCAGGAAATATTTCAAAAGTAGGCCAAGTATTAACTCATGAGTATTGACAACTAAATGGAACTCTTGATTGCTTTCAGATTGGCTACCTAACATAGAATACAATGAACACTTTGTATAGCATATTTCTTTCTTTCAAAAGTTCACCAGTGCAGAGGGAGTCATGACAGCATTGCTTTTCCAGATGTTTCTTGAGTTAGTGAACCAGTTTTAGTGATTAAAAATCTGCTCCGTGTTTTTTCCAGCAGTTCCAACATAATGAAGTCTAGTAAGGATTATAGGAAACAGAGAACCTCTTCCTATTCCTTGTCATCTTTTGTAAGACGCTTGACAATCTAGTTCACATTATATATATTTGGGAACTCTCAGGGGAGTATAAAAGCTCTGATTACAGTAAATGTGTAACGTTGTTACTGTGTCCTTTGCAGACCTAGCAACAGTAACACAAGAAAAGGAGACACACGCCCCAAATGGAAGCCCAAAGCCAAAGTGCCCTTACAGACTCTGCACATGACTTCTGAGAATCAAGAGAAAGTGAAAGCTCTTCTCCGAGACCTGCAAGAACAAGATGCGGATGCTGGATCCGAGTAAATTATTTTATTTGGATAAATTACTGTAGTAAGGAAGATGAATTGGCATTTTCACATACAGTGAAGATCCTGTGTGTCCTTAGATTACTGTATCAATACTGATCCTGTTGTAAGTTGAAAGTGAACTAAGAGAAATGCAAGAGTAAAAGTATTCAGCAACAGTTTTAGAGTGGATCTGTTTTGCAGTATCTGTGAGCACTGGTACAGATTGCCATTTCTCTCCTCTCTCCCCCACGGCCCAGGACAATGCTAATATGAATTCAGTAATTGCCTTATTGATTCCAAATAAAACCTTGTCGTGAACAAGTAGAAGTGTTCTAGGAACAAATAATGAGTTGCTCCACTAAAGTCTTAAGATTTATACTACTCATGTCCACTACTTGAGAGAAACAACTTGTACTCTTGACTATTTGGCTTCTTTTTTTTTTTAATTAAATTATTATCTGTGTACATATTTTAACATTGTCCCCCCCTCTATTTGGCTTTTTTATTGCAGTAGTTAATTTTTTCCACTTGCAAGAATTAATGGTCAGTCATGAGCAGCTCAGTTTCTATCCTATGTACAAATCTTATATCTATCTTAGATTTAGGGAAAGTGGTTATGCAGCAAAGCAAAAAATTAGAGGTGATTTTATGAATGATAAGAAAAAAGAGGACATATCGTAAAGAATACAGGCTCTGGGGTTAGACTGACTTGGTTAAAGTCTCTAGGTGCTCTTAACTGTGTAACCTTTGGTATACAGTTGGTAGTTACTAATCCTTTCTAAGTTTTAGTTGATCATCTGAAAATGAAGATTCTAATAGTATCTCGTTGGGTTATTGGGAAGATTTTAAAAGGAGTACATAAACATAGTATCTGGCATTCAGTAAGTGCCTGATAAATGTTAATTGCCAAGATATAAATTAATAGGTGAATAAAAGATTATATTAGTGACTAAATAGTGGTCAGAATCCTATGTCCTTTGGCTTTCTAAATCAAATGCTTAGACTCGCTAAGTTTTCCTTTGAAGTGAGTAAAAATTACTATATGCAAATGTTGTAATATATGCAAATGTTGCCTTTTCCAGAAGAAGCATCTCCGGGGAGGAGGAAGACGATGAGCCTGACTGTGATGATGCACAGTACTGGCTAGCTGGACAAGAAGCTTCCCTTGTTCCCGACTCCGATCCTTTGGATTATGCTGGCTCAGGCGCAGTGGAGCCTTATAATCCCGAACTTACAGTCTCAACAGTTGCAGTGCAAAAACTTTCCAGGTGATTGCTTTCAGCATTCATACCAGTTGGGAGAGAATTCAGGGAAATAGAAGGCATATCGTGAACCCAACTACCTTCCCCCGCTTTGAGTGTTTTCCTGTTGAATGCGTTCCAGAAATGCTGATATGTCGAACATTCCCTCTTTTAGGTTAGAGAGATTAAAGAGGAATTAGTATTATCAGGACTCTTTTTCAGAATACAAATGCTGCATAGATGTAGTTACAATTTCACTCAAGTGTATTTAAATGATTTCTTATTACTCCTTTTTTGTCATGTTTCACACTTGGCAGGTATGGTTTCAACCCCGAACGCTGTCAGGCAGCCCTGAGGGTTTGCGACGGAGACGTGGGGGCATCACTAGAATATCTACTCATCCAGTGTTTCTCCGAGACGTTTGGAGAGAGGATGCGAATCTCTGAGGCAGTTGCACGTATGAGTGCAGATGAGTGTGTGGAACCACGACAGGAAGAGGCATTTGCTCTCAGGTCAATCTGTGGAGAAAAATTCGTGGAAAGAATTCAGAACAGAGTTTGGACCATTGGATTGGAACTGGAGTATTTGACAAGTAAATTTCGCAAGTCCAAGCAAAAGGAAAGTACCAAAAATATACAGGAGACTTCATTTGATGTCTGTAAATTTTACCTCAAAGGAAACTGTAAATTTGGATCAAAATGCAAATTCAAACATGAAGTGCCCCCAAATCAAATTGTTGGAAGAGTAGAAAGAAATGTAGATGATTCTCATCTTACTGCTAATGAAGATAAGTCTTTTTTATATGAACTTGAAGTTCGATTTTCTAAAAACCACAAATACCCCTACGAGGCTCCCCTGGTGGCATTTTATTCCACCAATGAGAATCTACCTCTGGCTTGTCGTTTACATATTTCTGAGTTCCTTTATGGCAAGGCCTTGACTTCTGCAGAAACTTCAGAACCTGTTGTATATTCTTTGATTACCCTTTTAGAGGAAGAATCAGAAATAGTCAATCTACTAACAAATACCCATCACAAGTACAGTGATCCTCCAGTGAACTTTCTGCCAGTACCCTCTGGGGTCAGAATAAATAATCCCTTCTGTCGTAAATCAGTGATTCCAAATAATTCCTTTGTTTCCAGTCGAGTTCCAGAAGGTATGTAAGGCATTGATCACGTAGAGTGCATTTTAAGGTGGGGGGGTAAGGGCATTCAGAATGATGGACTAGAGAAGTCAGAGGTTCTGAGGGATAGTCTACAGCTCCCAGGGATCTTAGGCAAGTCATTCTCCTCAGCTGCAGGCAAAAAGGAATGAGAATCCCCGGAACGAGGGCCTGACTGTAATTGCAAGGCCCGATTTTGTCACTGTGATTAGGGTCCCTGAATTGAGAGTTGGAAGTGATTTGTAAGTTTACTCTAGCAGTTGAGAGTGGGAAGAAACTTACAGCATCTTCCCAGCAAACCTGTTTTATTTAATTCATTTGGTTTTACTTGTTTATTTCTGGTACTTTGTGTGGCATTACTTTCGAATGAGTTTTTAGAGATGGTTCTCTCTATATACTATATTCGTATCCTCTCGATCTTAGTACACTAGACCACCAGAACCCATTGGAGTAGAGCTATCTTCATGAGTCCCTAAGTCCTCAAATAAAGAAATGTCTGCACGGGCTGCTGGCTTTATCCAGGCCCAGGTTTCCTATATAATTCTTATACTAACAAGAAAATCCCTCTACTTCATCAAAGAATTATCTCTTATTTGTTGCTATCTTCCTTTCAGAGGAATAACTTTTCACTGTTTTGCAAGAGTTCCTAGGTAAACGCTAATAAGTAGAGAACAATGAAGCGGCCCCGAGTAACGGTGTCGAACAGGCGTCTGGGTTTCCTCACTCGCCACTTGACTCATTCCCAAATGTCAGCTTCTAGCACTGGGATTCAAATGCACTTCCCAAGAAATGACAGATTGTGGGTTGTGGACTTTTTAGAAATTATGACTTTATTGAGATGTGATTTACACACCATAAAACTCACGCTTTTAAAGTTTACAATGAAATGGTTTTTAATATGTTCACAGAGTTGTGCAACCATAAACAGTCTAATTCCAGGACATTTTCCTCACCCCAAAAAAGAAACCCCATGCCTGTTATTAGTCACTCCTCTTTCCCCCAACCCCTGATGACCAAGAACCTATATTCTTTCTCTATGGATTTGCCTATTCTGGGCGCTTCATAGAAATGAAATCATACAACATGTGGCTTTTTGTGTCTCGCTTCTTTCACTGAACATAATGTTTTCAAGGTTCATTCATGTTGTAGCATGTATCAGTATTTCATTCCTTTTTATTGCTGAATAATAGGCCATTATGTGAACATACCACATTTTTTTTAATTAATTCATCATTTGATAGGTTGTTTTGTGTCACGGAATTTTAGGTGCATTTGCCAGTATTTTAAACTTTCAGTTAATTCATTGTGTAAAGAATCTGCTGGATTAACATTTAGCCATGCCATGATTTTCTCTTGTTTTTAATTTAATTTTGTTTTTAACAGTAGCTACTTAAACTTGAGTAAAGTTTGTGTGAAGGTGCATTTTAAGTTCTGTAGCAGTAGTAATAGTAGTAGTATTGAAATGAATGAACCTGCTTTATTCAAGCTTTAACTTTTTCTCTTATTTTATGGTTTTGTTGTTGTTGCTTTGCTTTGCCTTTCCCCCTTTGATAAAGAAAGGGCTCTGCATCGAAAATGTTTCCTTTTGTCCCCTTCAAGTTGAAAAAGAATCAGAACCTGAGGAGGAGACAGATGAGGATGAAGGTCCTGCACCAGTGGTAGTGGAGAATGAAAGCTATGTGAACCTTAAGAAAAAGATTTCCAAAAGATATGACTGGCAGGCAAAATCAGTACATGCTGAAAATACTAAAATCTGCAAGCAGTTCCAAATAAAACAGGTAGGGTGTTCTGAGAGAATGGCCAGCACTGTCTCCCCAATGCATGGATGAAGGGATGAAGGAATTGGGAAGCTTTGGCTACCCTCTCTAGTATACCTTTGGTTCTCTTTTACTGAGCGGTCAGTCTCTACATGGCACAGCAAACTTGGGCACATGATCTACATAGTTTTGGAAAGTCCAATGGCTGGTGAAAATGAAATACACACCTGTATGCCAAGTATTCTCAGAATCGTGTGGCTTTGGTACTCTGACCGACAAACTGATGAGTGGGAGGAAAATTAATACTGTACTGTGACTTATATTAGAGGAATCACTGTAGAAAAGGAAAAGGAGCCAAAACTGGTTTGGCTCAGTGCATAGAGTGTCGGCCTGCAGACTGAAAGGTCCCGGGTTCAATTCCAGTCAAGGGCATACTTGGTTGCGGGCACATCTCCAGTAGGGGGTGTGCAAGAGGCAGCTGATTGATGATTCTCTCTCATTGATGTTTCTAACTCTCTATCCATCTTTCTTCCTCTAAAATCAATAAAATATATATTTTTAAAAAAGAAAAAGAAAAGGAAAAGGAAACAGGTAAGTGGGGGAACTTTTATGCATTTCAAAGGCTCACAGAATAAATAACTTGCCCTAAAGTAACACAGATAGCTAGTAAGTAGCAACATGGAGGTTCAAGCTAATTCTGTTTCCAAAGCCTGTGTTCTTTTTACCCCATTCACAAGAAGATTATTTTAAAAGAACCTGCCAGTGAACTGTGAAGGCAGAGTTGGATGTGGGACAAAGGGGAGTGGCTTAGCCAGTTTGGGGATTGGATTAGAGATGCTGTGTAAAGGCCCTTGCAGTCCAAAAGTTCTGTGATTCTTATTGTGACAGTATAAAACTATCCCATATATAGTGCAACTAGAGGCCTGGTGCATGAAATTTATTAACTTGCGGGAGGGGATCCCTCAGCCCAGCCTGTGCCCTCTCGCAGCCCGGGAGCCCTTGGGGGATGTCTGACTGAGGGCTTAGGCCCGCTCTCTGCAGGGAGTGGTTGTAAGCCGGCAGTTGGACATCCTTAGCACTGCCACAGAGGCGGGAGAGGCTCCCGCCACCGCCACTGCACTCACCAGCCATGAGCCGGCTTCTGGTTGAGCGGCGCTGCCCCTGTGGAAGTGCACTGACCACCAGGGGGAAGCTCCTCTGTTGAGCGTCTGCCCCCTGGTGGTCAGTGTGTGTTATAGCAACCAGTCATCCTACTGTTCGGTCAATTTGCTTATTAGCCTTTTATTATATAGTCTACCCATAGAATGTCAAAGTGAGTAGAAAAATCACACCTTAGGATAGAAACAAAAAAGTTGCATGTCCAATTGGTCGGTGTGTTTAGAAGTGATAAGTTTATCTGGTAAAATTACATGCAGAAAATATGTTGGTATAAATTTCTTACATTATTCAAAAACACATCCAGTTTTAATGTGTAGTACCATGTAGCATTGGCCTTTACATGTCAGGCTGAGTTGCATAAATGTGATGATTGGCCAAAAAGAACCTTTTAATCAGTACTCTTGCTATTACTGATTTTGGTAGAAATCTGATAATTGTGTAGAACTGTGCTGTCCAATATGGTAGCTTCTAGTCATGTGTGGCTATTTAAATTTAAATTCACTAAAATAAAATAAAAATTCAGTTCCTCAGTAGCACTGGCTACAGTAAAGTGTTCGGTAACCACTTGTAGCCCAAGGTTACTATACCAGACAATGTAAATATAGAACATTTCCACCACATCATAAAGTTCTGTTGGACAATTCTATTGGCTGGTGTAAAAACTGCTGCTAGGAAGAATTGGATCAGTACTCAGCAAGAGGGACTTATTTCTCTTTAAGGTCTTCCAGTTTATTCCGATAACAAAACCACAGATCCCACAGCTTATTCTGGCTGATTCTCTGAGCAGCCTCAGTCTCCAACCCCAACAAATTTGCAATTTCTCTGAATAAATCATTAAAGAGCAGAAAAGGGTGGGCCTGTGGTTTTTCCCATTCAGAGCTTTATGAGAGGTGATTCAAAGAAATTGAACTCATACCTTATCTTTTATTTTATTAGACCTCCAGACAGTTCCAGTCAATTCTGCAGGAAAGACAGTCGCTGCCTGCTTGGGAAGAAAGAGAAACCATTCTCACATTGTTGAGCAAGCACCAAGTACTCGTTATCAGTGGTATGACTGGGTAAGAATACAATTTATTGGGAATGCAGCTTTCATCTATAAATATGCTATTACCCTGTTTACCAAAGCCAGTTCTATTTTTGAAAAGCCAGTAGTTCATATTATTTGCTCTCTTTCCTGTCAAATAATATTTCATAGGAATTAATACTGCAGCATCTGTAGCCAGCAGAGCCAGATTACACAAAACAAACATAAAACTCAGAAATACATCTAATTCAATAAATATTCATTGACTGACAAAAAAAAAAAAAGAAAAGAAATACATCTAGGAATTGAGAGACATCGTACACCTCTGCTGGGAGATAATTTTAAGGCAAAAGGTTTAGCTGAATGCTTTTAACAAGGCCCATCTTAAACTCATCCTCTAAATGTATTCTGCTTTCCTTAGAGCTTTATTTGTTCTTTTAAGAACAACTTAGGGCACATTCTTTTCCCTATTTCACACTCTATATGTTATCAATACCTAGTTAGCAGGGGCCAGTCACAGGCATAACTTAATTATCTATTCAAGGGTTCTCAGTGTGATCATTACATTTGTGCTCAGACTCACTGATATAGTAGTAACTATGTATTTTGTAGTTCTTATCTTTCTAACCTCAGTTCACTTGCAGCCAAGTCAATACACATCAAAGAGAAAAATTTAAAGTATTCTATTCTCAAGACAAGACTGTTGTTTCTTTAGGGGTCATGTGTTGAGTTCATGGTCCTAGACACATTTATGGACCTTAGTAATGTCTATTCAGTAGTTCCAATTTTACGTGATACTAAACTATTCTTTGATTGCCCTGTTAGTGAGTGCAAATTCCTAGGAGTTATCAGCTATAGGTAATAAGTCAGTATAGCTTTAGAAGATAGATGAGGATGACCTACTTTTATTCTACTTGGCTTTCTGTCTTTTCACATATGATTGCTTCTTTGGTCAACTGGCACTTGTAAGCTCTCGTTTCAGAACTTACTTTTTGTGACGTACAGATGTGGGAAAACCACACAGATTCCACAGTTTATACTGGATGATTCTCTGAGCGGACCGCCGGACAAGGTGGCTAACATCATCTGCACTCAGCCCCGACGAATCTCCGCCATCTCTGTCGCCGAGCGTGTTGCTAAAGAGCGAGCGGAAAGGGTGGGTCTGACTGTGGGATACCAGATCCGCCTGGAGAGTGTCAAGGTTTGTATGTTCTGCTTAGCTTTCAAGTATAAAGAATTCTTGATGTTTGGAAATTAATGGGAAATTTGGAATATACTTCAGAAGTCTTTTTGGAAATGTTTTGGTATAAAAACTCTTATTTGGATATACTTAACTTCCTCTATAAAGACCTTTTATTGTTATTTTTAAATATATCGTTATTGATTTCAGAAAGGAAGGGAGATGGGGAGAGAGAGATAGAAACATCAATGATGAGGGAGAATCATTGATTGGCTGCCTCCTGTACACCCCACACTCGGGATTGAGCCTGAAACCCAGGCACGTGCCCTCATCGGGAATCAGACCAAGACCTTGTGGTTCATAGCTCAGTGCTCACCCACTGAGCCACGCTGGCAGGGTGAAGACCTTTTACTCTTTATTGGCGGAAATGATCTAGCAAGTGCTGTTTTATTCTCAAACCAGGGAATTAATCCTTTTGTTGAATAAGGCATGGACAAATTCAGAACTGATTTTATCACTCACTGTTGTTTTTATGTTTAATAATATTTTTTATGAGACCTGAACTTAAACTTTTTGTTGTTGTTGTTAATCCTTACCCAAGGATATTTTCCCATTGATTTTTAGAGTGGAAGAAACATCGATTGTGAGAGAAACACTTCAATTGGTTGCCTCCTGTACGAGCCCTGACCAGGGCCCAGACCAGAGAGGAACCTGCAACTGAGGTACATGCCCCTGACCAGAATCGAACTGGGACCCTTTAGTTCACAGGCTGACACTATCCATTGAGCCAAACTGGTTAGGGCTCCCATTGACTTTTTTTTTTTAACCACTGAGCCACACCAGTCAGGGCCTAAAGTTAAAATTTTGATATGAAATACAAAAGTTTTAATTGTCACCAGCAAGAAAGTGCACTTGGTATGGTTTCATACTAAATGGAGTTGCTATTGTTTTCAATTTTTTTTTTTTTTTTATCTCCATTCACAATGTCTTTGCCAGTTAAAGTGTTTCCTTTTTAAAAGTTTCACGAATGCTTTCTCTGCCCTTTTGCATGCTAGTCCTCAGCCACCAGACTGTTGTATTGCACCACAGGAGTGCTGCTGAGGAGGCTGGAAGGGGACACGGCTCTGCAGGGAATCACCCACATCATTGTTGATGAAGTGCATGAGAGGACAGAAGAAAGGTAAACAAAGGCTTCCCAAATGCACACCCACAATATGAAGACATGGCTGAAGGAATTTTATTCTGCTTCCAGTTCAGTTTCTCAGCATGAGTAACGGTAACTTGTCAAAGGAAGGCCTACGTCATAGAACAGGACCTGCTTTCTGGCCCCAGGGTCTGTAATACTGAAAATGCCAGGAGAGCACATGTTGTCCTGGCCGGTATGGCTCAGTCGGTTGGCCACTGTCCCGTGCACTGAAAGGTTGCCAGTTTAATTCCTGGTGAGGGCACATGCCCGGGTTGTGGGCTCAATCCCTAGTCGGGGCGTGTGCAGGAGGCATCCGACCGTTGTTCAGATTGATGTGGATTTTTTTTCATCTCTCTCTCTCTCTCTCTCTCTCTCTCTCTTCCTTTTTCTCTAAAAAATCAATTAAAAATTAGGAGGAAAAAAAGTCATCCTGCTGGGACCGGTTTGGCTCAATGGATAGAGTGTCGGCTTGGGGACTGAAAGGTCCCAGGTTCGATTCCAGTCAAGGGCATGTACCTTGGTTGCGGGGATATCCCCAGTAGGGAGTGTGCAAGAGGCAGCTGATCGATGACTCTCTCTTATCGATGTTTCTGACTCTCTAACTCTCTCCCTTTCTCTCTACAAAATCAATAAAATATATTAAATTTAAAAAAAAAGTTATCCTGTTACATGGACATTATGTAATAAGCGAAAACTGAACACCCTCCTGGTGTCATGCTGAGCTGAGGACTGTACTCAGCAGAAATAGCAGATGTAAAGCATGCAGCACTGATGGACTTCATTTGGTCAGTCATTCTCCCCTGACATCCGTTTAGATGTTACAGTGAACAAATGTACGTGGCTCTCCTTCATCTCTTATGGTCTGGTAGGAAAAACAGAATGAAAAAGCAAACAAATACATAATTAAAAATTGGAATAAGTATTATGAAGGGCCGAAACCGGTTTGGATCAATGGATAGAGCGTCCGCTTGGGGACTGAAGGGTCCCAGGTTCGATTCCGGTCAAGGGCATGTACCTTGGTTGCAGGCACATCCCCAGTAGGGGGTGTGCAAGAGGCAGCTGATCGATGACTCTCTCTCATCGATGTTTCTAACTATCTCTCTCCTTTCCTCTCTGTACAAAATCAATAAAAAATATATATATTTTTTAAAGTATTATGAAGGAATAAACAGGAATCTGTGTTTGGGAACAGACCGAGAAGATAGCCAGATATCGTATGTCTGAAGAAACAACATTTAAATTAAAACCCAGAGTATGAGAAGGAGTCCTATGTGGCAAATGGGGACAAGGCCAGTATTTGCAAAGATTTCAGTGGGGTGGGCTCCAGTGGAGCCCCCAAACTGGCGGATAACCAGTGCAGCTGGTGTGTAGTGAATAAGAGGGAGAGTAGCAGGAAGTGAGTGGTGGGGTACAGATCATGTCACGTAGGGCCTTGTTAGTGAGAACATCACTTGAAGGATTATGAGCAGAAGGATAGCACAATCAGATTTACATTTAAACAGAATTATTGGTCTGTTATATTGAGAATAGATTTCAAGGAGCAAGGGCTGGAACAGGGATAACAGGTAGGATATTGCTATTCTACAGTAAATACTGTTCTGCAACTTGAGCTTTATTTACTAACACTGCATAGAGATGCTTTCATTGTCAGTATCTAGTACTGTACCTTATTCCTTTTATCTGCCACATGCTATTCTACCAAACAGATGATATTGTTATAATTAGCAATTATAATCTTGGTTGGTTGACATTCAGGTAGTTTCCATTGTTTTATTACTATAAACAATGCCATAATGAACATCTTTGTATATGCATGCCTCTTTAAAATACATCAAGAAATAGAATTATCAAATGTAATGGTATTCTAATTGGTGCTACACTGAATTTAGTTTATTTGGCGGGGATTGATACATTTTTGTTTGTTTGTTTGTTTGTTTGTTAATCCTCACCAAAGGATATTTTTCCTATTGTTTTTTTCCCCTTTTCTTTTTAGAGAGTGAAAGGGAGGAGGAGAGACAGAGAGAAAAACAACAATGTGAGAGGGACACATCAACTGGTTGCATCCTGCACGTGCCCCAACCAAGGCCAGGGATCGAACCTGTAACTGAGGCACATACCCTTGAACAGGAATTGAACCTGAGACCCTTCAGTCCAGAGGCTGATGCTCTAACCGTTGAGCAAATCCGCTAGGACTGATATCTTTTTGATATTAAGTCTTCACAACTGGGAACATGACACATCTTTGTATAAACGTTATAATTGTTTTCACATAGGTCTTAAACATTTCTTGCTCAAAATATATCAAACATTATTAATTTTCACTCATTAACTTTGATCCTCGGGTGTTTCTTTTATTTCTTCTAGCGACTTCTTGCTGCTAGTTTTGAAAGACATTGTGTTGCAGAGACCAACGCTCCAAGTTATTCTGATGAGTGCAACTTTAAATGCTGAGCTCTTTTCAGAATACTTCAGTTCCTGCCCAGTTATTACTATTCCAGGTGACTAAAATACATCATTAAATATATGTTCTTCTAATAAGCAAATGAAATTATTTTAAAGCTAAATTGAGACATAAATTCATAGGTATTTATTCCTCTTTCTAGAGAAGAAGTGATTAGTTTATGACAAATTATAACCATGTAATGAAATTAATAAAGAGGCTACATTATGTCCATTTTCTGGGAGATTTTAATTTTATAAGTACTGTTTTGAAAAGTTCAGGTTATTAGTGTTTCTAGCATTTTATTGTGTTTAATCTAAAATTATGAATTTATAACGGTATTCTGTCAGAAAGGAGGAAGTTGAATGTGTGAAGCGCATATTAGTTCATTGCTGGGTTCTGCTAAATTTCTAGATCTTGGCCTGTTCTGAGAGAAAGTGAAATTGGGTAGCTGTGTCTTCTTTTGGTGCTTTCACATTTTCATTGTGGATTAATTTACTACCTAGCGCTCCTGTCTATCCTTCTGCAGTTGATTGCGAAGGAACAATTGGGAAGCACTGACTAATGAGTAATAGTCCTGTTTATTCTAATTATAGAGAATTTTGACAGTGGATTTAAAGAAGAAATTATACAGGGGCCAATGGGAGAGAAAGGGGACACATGTAATATTTTCAACAATAAAGAATTACTTAAAAAAATAAAATAAACACTGGCTTTATAATCATTAAAAAAAATAAAGAAGAAATTACATGCTTGATCTAGAGTACAGTTGTTCAATCTTTAAAGGTTCTCTGTGGGAGGGTAGGGGAGGATAGGAAAAGTGTAACAAATTTTTTTTAAAAGGCAAAAGGTTTTATTAGCAAATAATCATCTTTTCACCTATATACTCCTTTTTTTCTTCACAAAACTGGAATCTGACTCCTCCAATTTCTAAGAACTTTTTAAAACTATTTTTATACTTTTAAGACCACAAAACAAATAGTACCTTATTGTGCTAAGCTTTGTTTTAAGAGAATTTTGCATATATAAACTGTTTTAGGATAGCTCAACAGGTATTCTGAGGCTTATTTTATAGTCTATTTTGTTTCTCAAGGTCGGACCTTTCCTGTTGATCAGTTTTTTCTGGAAGATGCAATTGCTGTGACAAGGTAAGGAAGACATTAATTAAGGCTTGGTGAAAGTCTTTGAAAACAGAATTACTCTTTTACCTCAGAGTATCGTGATACTAATAAATGTGTTCAGATTTCCTTCTAATATTTCTATTTGAGAATTTTGTTTTTCCCTTTCTTTCAGCAGATATTTATTATACAAATTATTTGCAATTTGCAGGTGGTATAGTAAGAGTAATGACTCTTGAGCCCTAATGCAAACTATGGACTTGAGGTGATCATGATGTGTCCATGTAGGCTCATCAGTTGTAGCAAATGAATATTCTGGTGGGGGATGTTAACAGTGGGGAGGCTGTGCATGTTTGGGGGGAGACAGGGTCTATAGGAAATCTCTGTGCCTTCGCTCAATATTGCTCTGAACCTAGAACTATTAGCGCCTGAGCGCCAGAATAAAAACACCCTGATGTCTGGCACCTTACACTCAACTCAGAATTTTTCTCCTCCCTGCTCCTTTCCTTCCTAACAAATCCCCCTCCTAATTCCCTATTTATTTCATGGATCATATTCTCAAATCAAAAACTGGTTCTCAAACTTCAGTGTGCAGTAAGCATACTTAAAAACTGTTGTTTTGGGGGGGCCCTGTTCCACTTCTATTGAATGTGAATCTCTGGGCAAAGCATCTTTCAACTCGTTTAGCTGCCGCCATTCTCTCACTTTTTCCAATTCACTGCCTCCAGAATTATCTTCAGTGTGTTCCCACCAGAAACAGGGCAGAGCCAGCAGAATCCTGGACTGGTGGGAGAGTGGCACAACAATTAGAAGCAGCAGCATTCTGCTGAACGAGTGCATAAAACCGGTGAATGTTTTCCTTCACCAGCAGGCCACCTGCACACAGACACGGTCCTTTGTCTCCCCCCTCAGGTACGTGTTACCGGACGGGAGCCCATACAGGCGCTCCATGAAACAGATGTCAAAGGAGAAACTTAAAGCGAGGCGCAGCAGAACTGCGTTTGAAGAGGTGGAGGAAGACCTGCGGCTTTCCCTTCACCTCCAGGATCAGGATTCTGTCAAAGATGCAGTGCCGGATCAGCAGTTAGATTTTAAGCAGCTCCTGACCCGCTATAGAGGTACTGGGCTTCCTGCGGGGAGAGGACAGTTGTGCCGAAGAGAGCTACAGTGTGAACTATGCGAGGCCACTTACATACATGTCTTTTAAATAAATGTGACAAATATATTTTTTTATTTCCTTATGATTTTCCGAATAACGTTTTCTTTTTTTTCTTTTTTTAAACATATTTTATTGGTTTTTACAGTGAGGAAGGGAGAGAGATAGAGAGTTAGAAACATCGATGAAAGAGTCATCGATCAGCTGCCTCCTGCACACCCCCTACCGGGGATGTGCCCGCAACCAAGGCACATGCCCCCGACCGGAATCGAACCCGGGACCCTTCAGTCCCCAAGCCGACGCTCCATCCACTGAGCCAAACCGGTTTCAGACCAAATAACATTTTCTTTCCTCTAACTCAGTGGTCGGCAAACCGCGGCTCACGAGCCACATGTGGCTCTTTGGCCCCTTGAGTGTTCTAGCACCACTTCTTCAAAATAGACTCGCCCAGGCCGAAAACCGACTTCTGCGCACGGGCCACGAAGTTTCAGTCGCACTGTACGTGCGCGCCCGCACGTGGTATTTTGTGGAAGAGCCACACTCGGGGAGCCAAAGAGCCGCATGTGGCTCACTTAATTTATTGTGAGAATACAGAATATAATAGATAGAACATACAAAATATGTATTACCAGCTGTTTACGTTACCAGTTAGGCTTCTGGTCAGCAGTAGGCTATTAGTAGGTAAGTCCTAGGGGAGTCAACAGGTGCATGGATTTTCGACTGTGCAGGGCAGTTGGCTCTCCTAACCCCCAGGTGGTTCAAGGGTCAGCTGTAGTTTTATTCCTGCACCATCATCCTGAAGGAGAAAGAAGGGGCTCTTGTGTTATAGTTACATTGTCTTTAATTCATCAGAACAACCTTAAACATGGAAAAAGAGCAATTGCAATGCATATTATATTATAATTATTATACTTACCAGCGGGCTTTTTCTAATTTAAAAAAAAAAAATATATGATCATTATAGGAAATTTGTGAGGTAGTAAAATATAAATTCTTGAGTATTTTGTAATTTTTTATTTTGATACGATTTCAAATTCAAAATTAAAGTTTGTAACACTATATAATGAACTCATATAGTCTTTATCCCATTTCATCAGTTGTTATTATTTTGCTTCATTTGTTTTATAGTTTGTTCAATGTACATATTTTTCCCCTGAACCTTTTGAGACCAGGTTGCAGATATGATGCTGCTTAACCTCTAATATTTCAGTATGTATTTCCTAAGAATAAAGACATTATCTTACATAAGTATAGGACATACTCAAAATGAAGGCATTTAGCTGATACTAATATTTAATCCATAGTCCATATTTTAATTCAGCCAAATATCTCCATAGTGTCCTTTACTGTTATTTTTTTCCTGGTCCAGGATCCAACCCAGCATTACATATTGTATTTAGTTGTCATGTGCCTTTAGCTTTTTTGTTTTTTATTTCTATTTTAATCTGAAAGAAATGTTCTTTATTTTTCTTTTACAGACTTGACACTTTTTTTTAGCTTGGGCTAGTTTTGTCAACTGTCCCTCCATTTGGGTTTGTCTAATTTCCCCATGATTCAATTTAGGTGATACATTTTTGGTTAGAAAACCACAGAAACAATGTTGAGTCCTTCTCAGTATATTATATCAGGAAACACAATGTTGACTTGTCCTATTGTTAGTGATGTAAACCACTGAGCCACACCAGCGGGCTGTGTTTTCTTTTGAAATTTTAGAATTTTCTTTAAGAGTTATAACTAGAACCTCAGAGGGACAGTAAGGGAGGATGGGGGTAAAGGGAAGAGACCAACCAAAGGTCTTGAATGCATGCATATAAGCCTAACCAATGGATACAGATACCAGGGGGGTGAGGGCATGAGTGGGGAGGGGGCAGTGGAGGGATAAGGACACATATGTAATACCTTAATCAATAAAGGGGGAAAAGAGTTATTGCATCTAAGCAATGCCTTTCTAATTTCAAACACAGAGGTTACCAAAGTTCAGAAAGCACTACTAAGAACTCCTTTCTAAGAAAGAAGGATGGCAGATTTGGGTCAGAAAACCCAGCTTTGCCACTGGCTTCTATAGAGTGCTGAGCTGGTTGTTTAGCTTCTCTGAGCCTCCCTGTCCCTGTAAAAATGTAATTGATTTAGTTGATCTCGGTGCTCTTTCACTTTTCAGAAAATCCTATATAATCAAGAGGTTATATGCAAATTGACCCTCACACCCTCACAAGATGGCTGCCTGCAACCAGGCGAGCAGGAGTGTTAGTGAGGGACGACAAAACAAACAGCAGACTGCGTGGGGCAACCAGGCTGGCAGGGTAGGGGGCGGGGGGGCCAAGTTGGTAGTGACTAGGTAAACATGGGGGGCAGTAAGGGGTGACTAGGCCAGTGGGGAGAGCAGTTGGGGGTGACCAGACTGGCAGAGGGTGGCAGTTGGGGAAACCAGGCTGGCAAGGGAGGGGGGTAGTTGAAGGTGACCTGGCTGGAAGGAGGGGGCAGTTGAGGGCAACCAGGCTGTGTGGGGGGGCAGTTAGGGGCGATCAGGCCAGCATGCAGAGGCAGTGAGATGCGATCAGGCAGACAGGCAGGTGAGCCAGCAGTCCAGGATTGTGAGAGGGAAATCCGACTGCTGGTACGGGCCCAAACCGGCAGTCAGACATCCCCCAAGGGGTCCCAGATTGGAGAGGGTGCAGGCTAGGCTGAGGGGACTTCCCCAGGCATGAATTTTGTGCACCGAGCTCTTAGTTAAATAATGTTTCTGAGTTCAATTTTTAAATCTTTTTCTAGTTTAAAAAAAAAAAATCAGTCTTTTAAAGTATATAACTAATTAGTAAAAGCTGCAAAAGTATATATAAGAACAAATGTTTTTCAGTTCTCTTCCTTTTTGTGCAGTTAGTTAATCCTTTTTCCTTTTTGAAAAATCTGTTTGGAACCTTGACAGTTAGAAATGTTTCCTTCTTTGCCTTCCACACCCAACCACACCCTTATTTATGTAGCCTATTTCTTACTTCCTTTTCATAGTTAACCAACAGCCTAGAGAAGCATTGTTTAGAAACTGCAACTAATCGTCTCTCTCACATCAGTGTTTCTATTTCTGCCTTTTCCCTTCCCTTCCACTCTCTAAAATCAATGGACAGATATCTTTGGGTGAGGATTAACCAAAAGAGAAGAAAAAAGTGGCGTATCTGGGCCTTCCCGGCAGGGTTAGGAGCTTGCTCTTGGGTCATTGTTCAAGCAAAAAGTTTTTTGAGTAAGCATGTATGTTCTGAGAAACTGGACGAAACAAAATTCATTTTATTACAACAGTTAATATCCATGTTATTAAATCACATCAGAGCACTCACCTAGTTCCCAGGCATATTATCTTCAATAAGGATAATTATCCTTCTGCTTTTATACCTTTCTTTCAGGGGTTAGCAAATCAGTCATCAAAACGATGTCCATGATGGATTTTGAAAAGGTTAACCTTGAATTAATAGAGGCCTTGTTAGGATGGATTGTGGATGGAAAGCACTCCTACCCCCCAGGTAACTGCTTCTTGTCTTCATGTATGTGTGAGATGGCAAAAGGGTAGGAGCTGACATCCTGAGATCATGGGCACCCCCTCCCTTCCTGGAGCCCTCACCCATCCCGGTTATATGTCAAGTCGCTTGTTAGGCTCTTCTAGGAGAAATTTTACCTTTTGAGGTTTACCCGCTGTTGCTCTCACCAAACAAAAAGATGTTAACAATTCAAAGTCCCAAAGGAAGAAAACCGTAAAGAAGGCCCTGGCTGAGGGGGAGCCTGGTAGTGAGTGTTGGAATTTCATGAAAACCTTGCACACCAAGGCCAAAGGGTCTGCTAAACATTTAGAGTCTGATAAACATCCCAGCTCTCCTTCTCAGGAACTCCATAACCTTGGGTAAAGTGAGCATTACAGATATCTCTGAAATATGATAGATGGCCAGGCCATGAGGGAAGAACAGATCAGAAGACACATGAATATATAGACAAAACATTCTCTTCCATCCATATAGATTACCATACTACTCTTAAAGGTGTGGTGTTTTAGTAGGGAGGAGCATGCAGTAGGTAATGAAAAAAGAATGGATCTGATACTAGACACCCTAGGTTTGTGTCCATGCTCCACTCTTGCTAACTCTGTGACCTGACCAAGTTACAGGATCACTCTACGGTGGCTGTGAGGATCTACTGAAATCATGCCTGTGAGCATGCTTTGTATACTATGAAGTGTTAAAATCAACTCTGAAACATACCTTTACCCTTCTTCAGAGTTTCATTTTTGTAATAACATTAATGAACCCAGTGCATGGATTTGTGCACATTGAGAGGAAATTAATTAGAAGGTGGCCGGTTGGGCTGGGCTGGGCAAAATGAGGCTGGACATACCCTGGAGCAAATCTCCCTCTGTCCCTCCCCAGCGTCTGCCGAGTGAGCAGGGTCCCTCTGGCAGGTGGGGTCCCTCGGCCTGGCCTGTGGGGATCGGGCTGAAACCGGTTCTCCGACATCCCCCGAGGGGTCCCAGGGTGTGAGAGGGCACTCTGCAGGTTGCTGTCCTACAAGGTGGAATGCAGACATAAGTGTGCAGTAAACCAGATTCGGGCCGATAGTGCTCCAGTAACAACATAACCAACAGCCGAAGGTGGGATCGCATGGCCCCGCAAGGTTCCCCCCTCTTTGGTCTCCAGGTGCGTCACCAGAGAACCGCTGCTGCCAAGTCACTGCAGCTCGGCAGCTCCTGCACTGAGTGCCCCCTGGTGATCAGTATGTGTCATAGCGACTGGTCAGTCAGACACTTAGCATATTAGCCTTTTATATACATAGACTAGAGGACCAGTGCATGAAATTGTGCACAGATGGAATCCCTCAGCCTGGCCAGCAATCGGGGCCATCTTGCCCAGTTCCAATGGGGTCCAGCCAGCAGGGGAGGGACTGCGGGAGGGCTCCAGAGCATGTCCAGTCTTCTTGCCCAGTCCCGATTGGCCAGGTAACCTACCAGTAGGAGCATCTGGCCCCTGGTCAAGTGGTTGACTGATCTTAGCATACTATCCTTTTATTATATAGGATGCTAAGGTTGGACACTTAGCATATTACCCTTTTATTATATAGGATAGTTTCCTTTTTTAGTGAGGAGAATAACTGCAATAAATAACAGGTCAGGAGTTCTTATGGACAGATCTTTGTTTTATATCCCATTGTACCTAGCACAGAGGTGACATAGATATCCAATAAATGTTTGTGAGATTGAAGATGTGTGCCAATTTCCTCTCCAAATAAAACATGGAAGAAAGTAACTATCACTGAGTGATTGTTCTCACACAGAAATACACTATATAATCAGTTATCACTGCTTATTTTCTTTCATGTCAAATTTAAAAGTCCGTAAACCACCCTGGCTGGTGTGGCTCAGTTAATTGGGATGTCATCGCATGGATTCCCAGTCAAGGCACACAACCTAGGTTGTGAGCTCAGTCCTCAGTTGGGGCATATACGTGAGGCAATCAATATCTAGCTCTCTCTTTCTTCCTCCTTCCCTTCTTGCCTTCCTCCCTTCCTTCCTCTCTCTCTAAATAATCAATAAAATATAGTCCTTAGTGAGGATTTGTTTTTTAAGCTCATAAACCATTAAATGGCCTGGTTAGTTAATGTGCTACATTTTCACATATGTCTCAATTTAGATTACCAAGTTGGCAAGCAAATTAGGCTTTCTATATCTCATTTTCAGTAAAATGTTTATGGATATTTTTGACCAGTACATTAAAATATGTTTAAAGAGCTTTGCTAATGATGCTTGTATAAGTTAAGGCATTCTATTTTTCTACTCTTCTGTTTTTTCTTTTGCAGAAAAATAATATCCCATTTATTTTGTATTATAGTAAGTCAGAAAAAATATTTTTAAAGTTTGTTATCTATTAATTCCTTGGGGACTTTACAAAGAAAATTGAAAGTGAAAAATCTCAGATTACTTTTTTCTTTTTTTCATTAAAAATATTATAATCTGCTAGTTTTTCCCTTTTTGCTTCTATCCCATTGATCCTCTTTATATACCCAGGTGCTATACTTGTATTTTTACCGGGATTGGCAGAAATCAAAATGCTTTATGAACAGCTACAGTCTAATCCTCTTTTCAACAACAGACGTAGTCATCGGTAAGTTAATTGCTTTCTGTATTCTCAATCATCTATTGCAGTTATATGCGGAGAAGAGTAACCAGAAAGGTCTTTTTAATAATCATCACCTTCTTTAGATTCTGCTGTCACTCCTCAAGAATACATTTGTTTCTGCCAGCTGGAAATAGACAAACCTGTTTGTTCCAGAAAATCAGTCACTCCCATGCCATTAAATAAAAATATTTCTCTTCACATCATAGTGACTCAGCGAAATTGCATGTAATTTCAGTTGCTAGATACGGGACATGGGAGAAGCCAATGTTAGTAACAACAAAGAAATAATCCCATTTTGAGAAAAAATAATTTTCAGTGATTTCTGTTCTGGTGGAAAGAAACACTGGGTGTGTCTTCATATCGAAGGCAACGACTACTTGACAGATGCAAACTCCCTAGAAATATAAGAATGAAATTTCTTAGTGTATGTTACTGTCTTTGCCTCTCTTGCAAAGGTAGTGGGAAAAATGAACATATGCTCTTGTAAAATGTCAACCATTTAGTCTTCTTGATTATTTACTACTGAATTACACTCCAGTTTTTCCCAAGTTGATGGAAGGTTTCTAGTTTCATAGGGTGAGTAAATACGTTGTCAGAATCAGAAAGCACCTTCCCATTCAGAGGAGCTGAGCCCTGAGGGTGGATGGTGGTGGAAAAGTTGCCGCTGATGAGATAGAAATCTACCCCCTGTGGTCCAATTTCAGCACTTTACGCTAGAACACTCACTGCGCTTTTATTGCCTTTCAGGTGTGTTGTTCACCCACTTCATTCATCTTTGTCCAGTGAAGAGCAGCAAGCTGTGTTTATAAAACCTCCTGAAGGTGTAACTAAGATTATAATTTCCACCAACATTGCTGAGACATCCATAACCATTGATGATGTTGTCTATGTCATCGATTCTGGGAAAATGAAAGAAAAGAGGTATTCTCTTTTGACAGTATAAGGGAGGGGCTAAAGATGTCTCATTAGAATGACAAAGCTCTTAATGCTTTTAAACTACATGAATTGTGTATGAAAACTATATAAATATGTGAGTGAGGCTATAGTCGGAGATCATATTCTTAAAGTCAGATGGAGATGGAAAGTTCAAGGTTTTATCTTGAAAGTAATTAGTTTTCCTCCTTTTTTCATGTTTTACATGTGCTTGAATGAAAAAAGCATTGATATGGAAATTGATATGTGTTAATTAGTTTGATGTTGGAATCATTTCACAATGTCTACATATATCAAAACATCACATTGTACACCTTAAATATATGAAATTTCTATTTATCAAAAATAAAGATGAAAAAAATTTTTTTAAAAAACAGAAGTTAAATAGATTGTATGTAGTAGCGTTCCTTACCCTTTAAAGTAGCACTAGTCTCCTGCCAGGGACTCAACTATGGCAGAACACAGAGGACACTGTGTCCTACAGAAGGAAGGCGGTTCATCTAGTCTGTCCATGCTGAGTTGAGCTTGGCCACGTCTTTGTAAAATAATCCTTTCTGACATTTTCTTTTTCTTTATAGATATGATGCCAGCAAAGGGATGGAAAGTTTAGAGGATACCTTTGTCTCTCAAGCCAATGCTCTGCAAAGAAAAGGTCGAGCTGGTCGTGTTGCATCTGGGGTCTGCTTCCATTTGTTCACTAGCCATCACTTCAGTCACCAGCTTCTAAAGCAGCAGCTGCCAGAAATACAAAGAGTGCCATTGGAACAGCTCTGTCTAAGGTACATCGTGTTTTCTTTTTCTTAGTAGGAGACATTTTGCTGAGAACGAACATAGAAAGAGCTCCTCAGTGTTACCTATACCAGTGGTCGGCAAACCGTGGCTCACAAGGCACATGAAGTTCTTTGGCCCCTTGAGTGTGGCTCTTCCACAAAATACCACATGCAGGCGCTCACGTACAGTGAGATTGAAACTTCGTGGCCCATGCGCAGAAGTCGGTTTTCGGCCTGGGCGAGTCTATTTTGAAGAAGTGGCGTTAGAACACTCAAGGGGCCAAAGAGCCACATGTGGCTCATGAGCCAGGGTTTGCTGACCACTGACCTATACCATTCCTTCTAAGTTTCTGCACATAAGGATCTCTTACATTGGAGAGGATAGTCCTATAATAGACCTTAATACCTTTGTGAGTCAGAAAAATAATCTAGCTTAATGAGAGTAAGTTAGAGATTCCACCAATATTAAATTATCACATGGAAAAAATCTACAACCTCATTATCAGTTAGAGCAAAGTGAACAAAAACTACTTGAAAACTCCATTACTTACAAGATGAACAAATAAGAATAAGTATCATAAAATGGAATGTAATGAATGAATGATCAAATTCAATATTATTGCAGTTGGGAAATCTGTGGTTCAACCTTTCTGAAATTTGCTTGGCATTATACAAGAACTCTAAAACTGTCCACGCCCTTAGACCCGCTCATCACTTTGAGGGAGTATGCCCAGAAAATAGTGATGAAAAGGAAAAAAGTTACTTGTGTAAAGATGTTATAGCTCTTCTTTTATCCAGCAAATTTATTTTAAGAGCCTTCCATTTGCCAGGGGTTGGCTAAGCACAGGGCTATTATAGAATATAAGACACAGTATCTGCTTTCCCAAGTGTTCATGGTGAGGTCTTAAGAATCTGGACAAGCCGAAACTGGTTTGGCTCAGTGGTAGAGCGTCGGTCTGTGGACTGAAAGGTCCTAGGTTCGATTCCGGTCAGGGGCATGTACATTGGTTGCGGGCACATCCCCAGTAGGGGATGTGCAAGAGGCAGCTGGTCGATGTTTCTCTCTCATTGACATTTCTAGCTCTCTATCTCTCTCCCTTCCTCTCTGTAAAAATCAATAAAATATATTAAAAAAAAAAAAAAAGAATCTGGACAAGCAGATGCCTTGAATTAAGGTAGTAACAATGCAAATGAAGAGCAGTGAAGGGATTTGAGAGAACTTTGAAGTTGATTGATCCTTGAGGGAGAATGAGAGAATGGAAATGTTATATATGTAGCACATATGATTTAAGAATAACCCAAATACAACAGTGGGGAAATAGGTAAATTATATAAATCAACATGGCTCATTCTTTTTACTAAATCAAAATTTAAGTGGATTACTGTCAATGCATGTGTTAAAATGAAATATCTATATGATCTAAGTGGAAAAAAGCTAGTTACCAAATATATGTCCATTAGTAAATATGTAAAATTGTATGTTTGCCAGTATCGGTTCACAGCTTAAAAAGGAAAAGCATATAAGTGAAATAAAGAAATCTATATATATAAAAACCTAATGTGCAAAGTGTCCCCTAAGGAGTTCAGCCAACTGGAAGTTCATTCGCTCACTATGATGTACAACTGACCACCAGGGGGTGGTTTGGAATGAAGAAAGGCACCAGCCAGCAGCTGGGGAAGGGAGGCCCTGGCCAGCAGCTGCTGGGATCCTATCTGTGCACGAATTTCATGCACTGGGCCTCTAGTTTACATAAGATTTTCTCCTCTGAAAACTGCTTAAATTCATAATTTAAACTACTAGCTTTTCGAGAGCTGTCAAAAGGCAGGACACAGTGCAGATTGATTTTATAAACAATTATTATCCAATTTCAGATGAGGGAAAGAAAATAAGTGGATCATTCCAATTTTATTTCATGATTTGATTCCACTATTATGGAAAGAAGCATTTTGAAAGTTTATAGAGAGAATTTTCTAAATCTCAATAAGTTTCAGAATCTGAATGTGTTTCTGCAATTTATTGCTGGAGAATGAGGAGACATAAGAGATTTTTTTATTTTATTTTAAACTAACACATTGTTTGGCTTATGAAAGCATATATCTAGGAAATTATAAATTACTAAGTGGCCCAGTGAATGAAATTTGTGCACATATAGGCCCCTAGCAGCTGCCTGCCTGGACCTCTCTTCATTCCACGCTGTCCCCTGGTGGTCATCGCATGTCATAGCAAGTGGTCGAACTTCCAAGGGGACACTTTGCATATTAGGCATATATATAATTCAAGAAAGAAGCTTATTTCTTGGTATGACCTCATCATAAATAAAATTGTCAAATTATTTTTTCCCCCCAGAATTAAAATTTTGGAAATGTTTAGCACTCATAATCTCCAATCGGTGTTCTCTCGGCTCATTGAACCACCACACCCTGATTCTCTTCGTGCCTCAAAAATACGATTACGAGACTTGGGAGCATTAACTACAGATGAAAAACTGACCCCCCTTGGGTATCACTTAGCCTCTCTGCCTGTGGATGTGAGAATTGGCAAACTGATGCTGTTTGGGTCTATCTTCCGCTGTTTGGATCCTGCTCTCACCATCGCTGCCAGTTTGGCTTTTAAGTCTCCTTTTGTAAGTAAATAACATTCATCTAAACTGGAGTCAAGGCCCCACTGGCGTGGCTTAGTGGTTGAGCATCAACCAGGAGGTCATCGTTCAATTCCCAGTGGGAGACAAGTAGGAGGCAGCTGATCGATGTTTCTTTCTCATCGTTGATGTTTCTGTCTCTCTCTCTCTCTCTGTCCTTTCCTCTCTGAAATTAATAAAAATATATTTAAAAACTTAAAATAAAATAAAAATAAACTAGAAACCATTGGTCTCTAAGGGGACCATGGGGCCACAGGGTTATGTGAACCCCTAAAAATTTTCTTATACATTGTATGTGAATTTCTCAGGGTACAATGTCTATAACTTTTATCTGATCCTCAAATCCATGCCCAAAATGAAGATTAAGAACTGGAGATTTAACTTATTAAAATAATCTAATTTTTTTTTTTTATTATATCTGCTAAACTGGCTCATTATAGGAAAATCAGAAAATGCAAACAAGTACTAGTAAAAGGTACCTCTGCATGATTTTACTAGGGAGTAAATACACTGGACCACTTCTTTTTTTTTTTTTAACAGCTTTATTGAAATACTAGAGGTCCAAGGCACAAAATGCACGCAAGAGACTGGGCCCCCTGCGGCTGCCTTTGCTTCGGCCCCTGCCCACCACGGCAGCCGCCTCTGCCTCAGCCTTCCCCGCCACGGCTTTACCGAAGGTCGCCTGGAAGGATGTCCTAGTCTAATTAGCATATTATGCTTTTATTATTATAGATAATTTATCCGAAGTGTATAACTCAGTAGTTTTTAATACTGTGTGCAGTCATTACCATAGTCAGACTTAGAATATTTTACCACCGCATGAAGAGACCCCATAACTATTCCTCTGCAGTTCCGTTTAATCCTCCCATCACTTCAGCCCCGGGCAACCACCAGTCTGCTTTCTGTCTCTGTAGATTTGCCTCTTCTGGACATTTCATATTGACGAAATAATACACTATGTGGTCTTTTCTGACAGGCTTCTTCACTTAGCATAATGCTTTTAAGATTCATCTATAGTATAGCATGTATCAGTACTTCAATCTTTTTATGGCCAAATAATATTCCTTTTTTATGAATATACCACAGTTTATTTATGCATTCAGTACTTGATGGACATTTGTGGTTGTTTCCATCTCAAATTTCCTGATTTCTGACTTTAGTTTTTCTGGTTAGTTAGGCATGTGTTCTTTAATTTCCACATAATTATGAGTTTCCCAGTTTTTTTCCATTATTGACTTCTAATTTCATTCTCTTATGGTCAGAGAACATATTCTGGATTATTTCAGTCCTCTAAAGGTTATTAAGCTTTGAATTATGGCCACGCATACAGTCTGTTTTGGAGAGTATTCTGCTGTTGTTGGATAGAGTGTCACTTGGCCTTTTTCACCGTGGCTTATCTCAGAGAGATTGGGGAATAGATTAATATACCCATTTTATTCAGCTTTAATGTTATATTTCATGAAATTGTAAACACAGAGATCTTAAAAAAGATCTTAGTTCAGTCCCCTCATTTAACAAACAGCAAAACCAAGGACCCGAGTGGGTAATGTAGCTTACTCAGGGCATATGGGTCGATATTGTTGTGAGTCGGACCTCTGCCTCAGATCGTCTAAATAAACTTCTCACTGGCTCTTTGTTTTATTGGAATACAGAAATATTGATGTTCATTAGAAATACTGATATCATCCTTAGCCTAAACTCAGCATCTGTCCTTTGCTAGGTTTTGTAAACATAATGTTAATTTCCCAAATATAATCCTTTGCCCACCGGCCCTCCTAAAAAGGAAGGTGTTTGAAAAGTTAGAACTTTAGATTTCAGATCTAGCTTTCAGAATGAGTGTCTCTTTGATGACATCTTGCCACCAGGAACTGAAAGACCTAGTAGAGCTTATTCGGGATGGTAGACAGACTCACAAAGGCAAATAGTGGTAGCTTGATCGATTTCATGATAATGTCTATAATCAGCCACTGAGTACCCTTTGTGCCACACAACACACTTCCCGAGACACTTGCTTCAGCAGTAGGAAGGTCCCTGTGAAACCAGAAGTAAAATGTGTCCTTCAAATCTGATGTTCCTCATTCAGGTGTCTCCCTGGGATAAAAAAGAGGAAGCTAACCAGAAAAAGTTAGAATTTGCATTCGCAAACAGTGATTATCTGGCCCTCCTACAAGCATATAAGGTAAGTATATAACCTAATAGCTGAGGATTATTCCAGAGCTGGCGCTAAAGACAGAGAAAGTTCATTTTGATTTTCTTCAACATTTAGGGGTGGCAGCTGAGTATGAAAGAAGGTATGCGAGCAAGTTATAATTATTGCAGACAGAACTTCTTGTCGGGCAGAGTTCTCCAGGTGAGTGGTTTCTGTGGCAGTTTGTTCTCACTCATTTTCTGTTATGGCAGAGTGTCAGAGAGTGCTGCAACTTAGCCTGGTGTGTCCTGCCTTGACACTGAAAATGTTATTTCTGGAATATGCTCAGCTTCGCCAGCTGTGTGAGACACACTCCTGAACTATGCATACCATCGGCCTTCTGTGCTGAACCTTTTCCTTTTTACAGTGAGCTTGTGTTTACTTAAGGGGAGGACAGGGAAATATAAGTACTCCAAAGGTGACTGCTTACTTGAAGTCAGTTTTTTCAGTAACTTTACCAGGTATTCTTTTTTTTTTTTTTTTTTTAATTCTTTATTGTTTAAAGTATTACATGTAGATATAACTAGGTATTCTTAACCTGGATCCATATCGCCTAAAATTGTATGCAAAATCATAAGCTTATACATATGTGCCTTATTCTGGGAGAAAGGAATCATGCTTTTAGCAGGTTCTCAAAGTGGTGTATGAGCATCCTTAACCTCTATCCTCTTCCTCAAACCAAAGAATGAATACTGAACCAGATTTTCCCCGTGAGTTTTCCTTACGGCACCAGAGGCTACTTGCCAATGATAAGTACACAGGAAAGAAAAAGGTCTATCGTCTTCTGTGTGGCAGCAGGCAGGGTTCTGTCCTCTATTGTGACAGTGTTTCTAGATCCCCCTCCAGAGTGGCACAAGCCTCCAGATACCGACGGTGCACATCTTTGGGTAATGTTTTATTCCAAGGTTTTGAGGCTGGAAGGGTGAAGAATGTTACTTTCATATTAAAAGGTGGCCTGGAGTAGAACACAAAACCGGTACCTGACACTATTTATGTATCGCTCTATCCCAGAAGCTCCATCAGAGCGGAGACCTTATCTGTTTTGTCCAACTCTATCCCCCGTGCCTAGAACAATAGTTAGCACACAGCCGATGCTCAGTAAAGATTCAGTGAATAAATGCATGTATCCCAGTATTCGCCTTCACGCCCCTCTGCCTTCAGATGTGCCCCAGTGAGGCGTTTTGAGAAAGCGAAGGTTCTAGCTGTCTTCTAAGTACAAAGAAAGCAAAAATTTATCAATTATGGCTGCACATTAGATTCACCTGAGGAGGTTTAAGACAAGAAAGGGAAAATGCCCAGGTCCCACCCCCTGCCAGTTTCATCGGATCTCCAGGGGGAGGGCCTCAGCATCGGTTTACTGTCGCTGTTGTTGACCAGTGATTCTCACACACAGCAAGAGTTAGAACACTAATCTAAAGGACATTTTTATATGTAAGATGCAATAATAATATTTCCTCTGGCCAATTAGATTTTTTTAAGTATAAAATTGTATTTCTTTTAAATTACATTTTTTACTAATTTTCTTTTTCAGGATACATGTAGATTTTGCTGTGCTCTATGAGGTCCATCAAACAGAGTTCCCTCTTTTCACTAAACTCTAGCTTACTTTAACAAGAAAGCAATTAAAGACATGTATTTACTTAAGGCATATTTAACTCCGCGTTATATTTTGCCATGTTCCATGTGTACTTCAGACATTCCTAGAAAACACATTGTCATCAACAGACAGGATGATGTTGCTTCGCTCTCAGTTCCCATGATGTCTTTATCTCCTTTTCTATTGTCTGATGTGCAGCTTATATTTGAACAGAAGCCAGAGGAGAAGGAGGCTTGGGCTTTTTCTTTCTCATACTTGTGCTCAGCTACAAAAAGGAGGGTCTAGATCTAAACCAGTTAATAACGTTCCTATTCCCAGGGAAAGATGTGAGCCAGCGAGGCCGCCAGCTAAGAGAAAGGGAAAGTGGTGAAAGCAGAACCAAACACTGTAGGCTCAGGTAAAGAACCAGGAGGACCTGAGCGGAAATGCCGGTAGGGAAGACCTAGGCAGTGTCACAGGACCGGGCGTCAGGTCCCAAACAAAATGAGCTGCATTGTTTGCTGACCTGGAAAATTCCAGGAAAATCAAACCTATCCAAAATCCGGTGAACATGATTTTTTTCAATGTAATCTAGAGGTAAATAAATGATCTTTGGGGTTTTCGTCACTTATTGATTTCTCTGTACGTAACTATTTAGCCCTGCCAGTTTGCATACTACATGTAAACTGCCTTTTTGGGAATGGCCTGTTTGATGAACCCATATGAGCCTCATTACTGTCCACTGAAATAATGAGTGACTGTCTCACCTTACCTTTGATACGTTGATGTCCCTGCTTAAACACCTTTTCCACTTCTTTCAGGAAATGGCCAGCCTCAAACGACAATTTACTGAACTGCTATCAGATATAGGCTTTGTGAAGGAGGGACTCAGAGCCAGAGAGATTGAGAAAAGGGCCCTGGGAGGAGATGGTATCCTGGAAGCCACAGGAGAAGAGGTAAAGAATGTATAATTAGCTCTTACTTCTCTTTAATTAGCACATGAATAGTATTTTAACTCAGGAACACATGTAGGCATCCTTCACTTACGCCTATGAGCAGTGGTTTTGTGGCAATCTTTTCTTCTTATCACAAATAAGTGTCATGATTCTTGATAAATCCGTAAGAGGTAGAATCGACTTTCCAATAATGTCTTCTTAAATCAGACCACCTTTTTCCCAACCAAGAATAGTTTTGTGTATCACTGTAGGAAGAACACTTCTTCAAAATGAACCTGATGCCACTCTGTTCTAACCGAAGTTAGTACTTTCTGGAGATTGTGAACATCTCATGAACCAGAATCTTTCTCTCCTAAGCCTTAGGAACACGGGCTCTGTGGCTGCTTTGCAGAAATCTGGGAGGAGTTTCCATTGGCTTCTTGGTGAGGGTCCTGTGAGGATGTGTTCCAATAGATCTACTTTTCATTAGAAAATACAATTTTTCTAGCACAGGGATAGAAGTTAGATGCTTTTGTCTGTTTTAAGATAGAAATCAAGTGACATATAATGGTAAATCCCAGGGCACAGACAAAAGTAGCCACATTACTTATGAAATTAATGCTGCGTTTCTCTCACAGGCGAATTCCAATGCTGAGAACCCCAAGCTGATATCAGCAATGCTGTGTGCTGCTCTGTATCCAAACGTAGTGCAGGTAACAGAATGCTTTTCCTGGATTCTCCCACAACTCGTCTCTCTTGCAGCCAAGGATATAAGTTAAGTCCTAGCTTTAATCATCTCACGCAACAAATACACACACAGCCTTTTACACTTAGTGTACATTTCTAATCCTTCATTTCCTTAAACCTGTTTAGATGCATTGCTCAAGAACATTTATTGTATAAAATAGGTTGCTTCTTTAATCCTTCTGAAATGACATTCCAGGAATTAAAAAGAACATGTATGTCACTTTCTCAGCCAACTTGTGCCTAAATGACTATCCTTCTTTGTTAGATAGGAACTTGATTTAGTACATTTCCCTGGACTAACCTTAAGTTAAGAACAAAGTCAAACAAGTCAGTGGTTTGCCAAGGACCACTGTATTGCCATTAAGAATTATGTGGGGTGTTGCTTTTTTTTTTTTTAAAAGGAATTATGTTTTAGGAAAATATTTGTTCCAAAAAACTTGGAAAAAGTTCTCAATATATTAAGTTTAAAAAGGGTATTTATAGAAAATGATCCTATATTAGTATCAATGAACATCAGTATTTATATTGTGTTTATAGTTTTCTACAGACAGTATAAAACATAAATCTAACAAACTAAAATTATATTTATTAAATAATAATGCTAATTATTTCTTATTTATGTGATGATTACAGGAAGTCTTTATTTTCTTTTTTTCTAATATGTTATTTATACAGGAAACGTATTATTATTTTTTTAATATATTTTATTTATTTTTTTACAGAGAGGAAGGGAGAGAGATAGAGAGCTAGAAACATTGTGAGAGAGAAACATCGACCAACTGCCTCCTGCACACACCCCACAGGGGATGTGCCTACCATGAAGTCACATGCCCCTGACAGGAATCGAACCTGGGACCTATCGGTCCGCAGGCCAATGCTCTATCCACTGAGCCAAACCGGTTTTGGCAACGTGTATTATTTTTATAATACATATATATATATATATATATATATATATATATATATATATATATATAATTCGTGTGTGTATATATAGATAGCTTTTCAATTTCTTTTTCAAATGGACTAATCTGTTTATTCATGATTTTTTCTGTTCATGCAATGTTTTCTTGCTGTTTTGAAAGGAATTCATTTGGAAATGTGGGATTGAGATTGATAGTCAGCAGATTCCAGATCTCTGTACCTGATAATTAGTACAGACCTGAAATATCAAAGCGGTTTCTCCCCATGTGGCTGCTGTGTGATGTAGTCACCCAGTGCTACTGTACCTTCATTCACACTTTTTTTTTTTTTTTTTCGGAGAGGGAGAGAGAGAGAGAAACATCAATGATGAGAGAGAATCATTGATTGGCTGCCTCCTGCACAAACCCCAGTGGGAACTGAGCCCACATTCTGAGCATGTGCCCTGACTGGGAATTGAACCATGACCTCCTGATTAATAGGTCAACACTCATCACTGAGCACACCAACCTGGCAAAGTCACACTTCTTGATGGTTTGAACAGAAAAGCAAAAAAATATTCTTATATTGCTTTCAAACGGAAACTAAGTGAGAGAGGGAAGAAACAGCAAAGGCATTCAAGCAAGTCTGGTTTTGTGCCAAGGAATACAGCCTGTAGTGAAAATGTACATTTTAAATATCTATTTTTACAAATACCTATTGTTTAGGTGAAAAGCCCAGAAGGGAAGTTTCAGAAGACCAGCACTGGAGCTGTCAGAATGCAGCCAAAATCAGATGAGCTGAAGTTTGTCACCAAGAATGATGGCTATGTGCACATTCATCCTTCATCAGTGAACTACCAGGTCAGACAGGCAGGGTGGAGTGGGGTGGGAAACAGTCCCTTAAGTTCAGCCAAACCGTGCTCTGTCCCTTGCTGTGCCCAGCAGCATCACTGGGCAAAGACAGGTAAGCAAACCATGTCAGCTTGGTGACAAATGTTAGGAAGAGAAATCAGTCAGAGAGACTGAGAGAGAGGAGAGGGGCTGTTTTCCATAGAGTGGTCAGGGAACAAACCATGGAGCAAATCCTAAGGACCGGGAAGGGCAAGCCATGCAGGTATCTAAAGAGAACATTCCAGCAAAGGAAGGAAGTGCGAAGACCATGAGAGAAAGCATGTTTGGTGTGTTCCAGGAAGTGAAGGCTGGCGGCCAGGGCAAGTGCAGTGGGATGACCAGGGTGAGGGTGGCAGGTAATTGGGACACGCAGGCAATGGTCAGGTCATGTAGGACCTCGTGAGCCATGGCAAGGATCTGGGATTTTGTCTTTGGGAAATCATTGAGCATTTTGAGCCCTAACTGGATTTGTGTTTGGTTGCTGTGAGGAATAGAAGCTGTAAAGGTGCAAAGGAGCATGGCAAGGGCTTAGGAAGCACTGCAGCGGTCTGTGTGGGTAACAAGATGGTTCGGACAAGGGGATGGCTATAGACGTGGTCAGAACGTGTCACAGTTCTATATTGAAAACAGAGCTGCCGAAACCGGTTTGGCTCAGTGGATAGAGCGTCGGTCTGCGGACTGAAGGGTCCCAGGTTCGATTCCGGTCAAGGGCATGTACATTGGTTGCGGGCACATCCCCAGTAGGGGGTGTGCAGGAGGCAGCTGGTCGATGTTTCTCTCTCATCGACGTTTCTAGCTTTCTATCCCTCTCTCTTCCTCTCTGTAAAAAATCAATAAAATATATTTTAAAAAAAAGAAAAGAAAAAGAAAGAAAGAAAACAGAGCTGACAGGACTTAACAATGAGGTAGATAGAGTGAGGGGGAAAGTACAATCAAGGGTGACTCTTTTGGGGTTTGAGCAATGGGGTGAATGGGGGTGCCATTTACTCAGATGATGAATACTGCGTGGAGGGGAAATCGAGAATTTCTTTTGAACATAAGAAATTTGATGTGCTTATTAGATCCCAAGCGGAGATGTCAAGTAGGTAGTTGCACATACAAGTCTGGAAAGGTACAGACCGGAGATGATTTTGTAGGTCGCTGACAGGTGGTATTTGCGTCTGTGGGACGGGTGGAGGTCCCCTCGTGTTATCAGTGGCATTGCTGTCATCACCTGAGGTTTTATGCTCCAGGTCAGATACTTTGACAGCCCCTACCTGCTGTACCACGAGAAGATCAAAACCAGCCGGGTGTTCATCCGCGACTGCAGCATGGTGTCTGTGTACCCGCTGGTCTTGTTCGGAGGAGGCCAAGTGAACGTGCAGCTGCAAAGGGGAGAGTTTGTCGTCTCCTTGGATGATGGTTGGATTCGTTTTGCAGCTGCTTCCCATCAGGTAAGGACAGATCCATCCTGTGAATCTGAAGCGCTGAAAGGCTTTGATGATAAGAAGTATGGGGCATTCCTTCAGGGACCCAGGACAGCAGAGCTGGTTAAGGGTGAATGATGGGTCTGCAGTGAGATACTCAAAAGGCTGAGACTGGAGTGACGCCAGGGGCAGAGCCTTAGTAAGACTTCCAGCAGCACACCTGAGAGGGAAGCCCAGGCTGGGCTGGTGTGAACAGTTCTGGATGGAAGCTGAGTGAGGTGTTGGACCTTCCTCATTGACATGCAAATAATGTGCTCACCAAAGGAAAATTAGAAAATATAGATGAGCAAAAATCAATAAAATCACCCTGAGTCCACCTCTACCATTGATAAAACATCAGGAATCTGGATTCTTTTATTCTCAGGTCTCAGTTATACTCTATGTGGAGCCTGCAGAAAACACTTAAGAGCAGTACATATGTTTAAGGAATAATTCAGTTTAACACTTGCATCTGTTAGAAATCTTATGTTGCCAGAAGCAAAAGCACCAACTCAAATAAAGGGAATATACTGGTGCATTTAACTGTAAAGTCTAAAGCAGCACAATCTAATGGAAATATGTGAGCCACTATGTAATTTTAATTTTTCTAGGAGCCACATTTTAAAAAAGTAAAAAGAAAGAAGTAAAATTATTCTTAATATATATTAAGGAACCTAATACATCTAAGATATTTTAATTTCAACACAGCCTATACAATAAAGAGCTAGTATGCAAATGGTCGTAACACCCTCATGCTGTAAAGACCAATCAACAGGAGGCTGCATGCATGGCAAGGCCAGGGAATGTGAGGCTGTTACTGTTTATTAATAAATTTATATATTATTTTCACATACATTTTTCTAATTTTAATCTCTGACAGTTCTATTATAGAGAAAGGGCAAATAGCAATATTAGAATATTTCCTCTAAATAATTCCCTTTTAATGTGCAGGAGGAGTTTTGTGTGCTGGGCCACTAGTAATCAATATAAAAATCTGTCGGGATATTTTGCATTCTTTTTTCATACTAAGTCTCCAAACTCTGGTGTGTATTTTACATTCACAGGACAGTTTGCTTTGGACCAGCCACGTTTCATGTGGTCATGAGATTAGCCACATGTGACTGCTGGCTGCCATATTGGACAGTGCAGATCAAAAAGGCCAGGCCGAGGAGATTTAGTTCAGCAACTCAGTGGCCATAAAGCCTGGCCGGCCTGTGGGTAGCAGGTAGCATGAGGCCTGACCTCATGCAGCTTACTGTCCAGAGGGGAGACCACATCCTTTCCTAAAAGTTCCATTGGACCTTCTCTTCCTAAACCAACTCTTGGCCAAAGGAATGTCATGGGCACTAAGGCCAGGATTACCGGAGCCATTACCCTGGCGAGGATGGCATGAGCCTGTTTGATTTAGATCAGGATCCGAACAGCAGGGGAGGGGCAAGGCAGATGTTGGGGAGACATCTATCTACAGGGCCACTGAAACATCAGCACAAGCCACATAAAAGTGTGCTTTTCTCCCCACAAAAGCATAAAGCGTAGCCCAAAGCCAAGAGATTTTTTCAAATTCTCCATTCTCCAGCTTCTCTTCTTGGAGCAAATTATAAAAGTTGGCCAAGCTTTAATGTGGAGAACACTATATAAAAGCCTTTCTTTCAATGAGATGTGATAGAGGAGCCCATTTAGTATATCAGAGCTCACAGTGAGCGAATGTTCCTATTGTTGCATCAAGAACTCTTAGAATTGCCGAAACCGGTTTGGCTCAATGGATAGAGCTTCAGCCTGCAGACTCAAGGGTCCGGGGTTCGATTCCGGTCAAGGGCATGTACCTGGGTTGCGGGCACCTCCCCAGTAGGGGGTGTGCAAGAGGCAGCTGATTGATGTTACTCTCTCATCGATGTTTCTGACTTTCTATCCCTCCCCCTTCCTCTCTGTAAAAAGTCAATAAAATATATATATTTTTTTTTATAAATAAATAGGAAAAGGGAAATTAGCAAAATAAATAAATAAATAAATAAAAAATAAAAATAAGATTTTATTTATTTATTTATTTATTTTTTTTAAATAAGTTTTTATTGTTCATATTATTACAAATGTTCCTTCCCCCCCCCCACTATTGCTCTCCTCCACCAGGTTCCCACCCCACCCTCTGCCCTTTCCCCACTCCCCATTGTCCTCATCCATAGGTGCACAGTTTATGTTCAGTCTCTTCCCACACCCCCCTCTCCCCTTTTCCCCAAGAATCTTCAGTTCAGTCCCCTTCCATACCTCTGATTCTATTATATTCAACAGTTACTATTGTTCATCAGATTTTTTTTTTTTAATTTCCTTGGTTTTTAGATTCACTTGTTGATAGTTACGTATTTGTTGTTCATAATTTTTATCTTTGTTTACTTTCTCTTCTGAAAGAACTCCCTTCAGCAACTCATATAAGTCTGGTTTGGTGTTGATGAACTCCTTTAGCTTTTTTTTATTAGTGAAGCTCTTTATCTGACCTTCGATTCTGAGTGATAGCTTTGCTGGATAGATTATCTTTGGCTGTAGGTTCTTACTATTCATCACCTTGAATATTTCTTGCCATTCCCGTCTGGCCTGCATGGTTTCTGTTGAGAAGTCAGCTGACAATCGTATAGGTGATCCTTTATAGGTAACTACCTTCTTTGCTCTTGCTTCTTTTAATATTCTCTCTTTGTCTTTTGCTCTTGGAATTTTAATTATGATTTGTCTTGGTGTGGTCCTCTTTGGATTCCTTTTGTTTGGAGTTCTGTGCGCTTCCTGGACTTGTAAGTCTAATTCTTTCCCCAGGTGGGGGAAGTTTTCTGTCACTATTTCTTTCAGTATATTTTCGATATCTTGCTCTCTCTCATCTTCTGGGACCCCCATAATTCTGATGTTGGTTCGCTTGAAGTTGTCCCAGAGGTTTCTTACATTATCTTCAATTTTCTGGATTCTCTTGCCTTCTAGCTTCTGTGAAGGAGTGTCTTCTGGCTCTTTATGTTCCAAATCTTTGACTTGATTCTTGCGATTTTCCCTTCTGTTTTTAGGACTCTGTAAAATATTTTTTATTTCAGACAATGTATTCTTTATTTCTTGTTGTTCCCTTATCATTTCTTGTTGACTCCTTATTAATTCTAGTTGATTTCTTTTCATATCCTCATAGGTCTTATCCATCTTTTCTAGGAAATTCTTGAAAAACCTTATAAGCGTAGATTTGAACTCTATATCCAGCCGCTTTTTGTCCTCCATTTCTTTCGTTTGTGATCTATTTCGTTGTCGCATTTCACAGTTACAGATGGGGCGGGGTTTCAGGGTGGAGCCTGCAGCCTTGGCTTCCCTCAGCCCCGCCCTATGCGGGTCCTTCAGTGCTCGCTGCCGGCGCCTCTGAGAGAAAGGTGCCCTCGGTTTTCGCCTGCTGCCAAACAGTCAATGCTCTCCCCCAATGAGCCCGGTATTGGGGTTCAGTTCAGTTGGAAGTGGAGTTGGAGGTGGTGTTCAGAGCAGTCTGGAGCCCCTGTCTCCTTCCCGCCAGTCAATCCCGCGGCACAGCCGGCCGTCCCTTCTCTGAGCGAACTGCACGCCGCCGCCGGGACCCCCTTTCGCCTCTTCCCCGGGTTCCGCCTTATAGCCCGGCTCCCTCTGTGTGAGCCTGGGTCCCCGGGGTCTGGCCTAGGCCTGGGGTTCAGAGCAGTCTGGGGCCCAGCACAGTCGGAGTTTTATCTCCTTCCCGCTGGGGAACGCCAGCCAGGCACTCAGCCGCCCTCCTCTCCGGCTCCGTCCTCTCCGTGCGCCGCGTGTCTCCGTACCTTGGGCTTTTCCAGCTCCTCCGCGCTTCCTTCTGGTTTTCTCCTTGCTTCTCGTTGTAGAATTTCCAGTCAGTCGACTTTCCTGTGGTTCTGGATAATGTCCATTTTATATTTTAGTTGTATTTTATTGAAATTGTTGTGTGAGGCTGCAGCTAGGTATTCACCTGGGCGCAGCCATCTTGGAGGACCTCAATAAAATATATTTAAAAAAAGAACTCTTAGAATGAAAATGTGTTTAGTTTCCACCCCCACCCCACTAATGAGATTAAAATTCATACCAGGAGCCTCGAATAATGATAATAACTGGGGCATTTCCTTTGATAATCTCCCTCTCCTGCTGGTCACGCACTGTGACACGGCTCTCCCTTCCAGGTGGCTGAATTAGTAAAGGAATTGCGCTGCGAGCTTGACCAGCTCCTCCAGGACAAGATCAAGAACCCGAGCATCGACCTGTGCATGTGCCCCCGAGGGTCCCGCATCATCAGCACCATCGTGAAGCTCGTCACCACACAGTAGAGACCCGTCCCAGGAGAGTGCCTGCTACTCACCTGCTTCCTGTTCACCTGGGACACAGCAGCAGCATCTTCTACCTCGAACTCAAGCTCTGGGCTGGGCTGGCCCTGACGGAGGAGTCCAGGGCCTGCGCTGCCCAGGCTGCCGAGGCTCCGCATTCCCTTAGGGAAACGGTCCGGACCGCGTATTTCTCACAGCGGTGGGCACCCCCAGCACAATTGGAGTGTCGTGGTAAGACAGTCTACAAACCAGCCTGCCTGTCTTTGTCCCTGCGTCCTAGAATGAATGAAATGCGCCCGATAGCACACAAGTGAATGTGTATTCCGTCTTAATCTGCATATTCTTTTTCTCCTGCTTTTTACTGGGGTGAGATAGGGGCATGAGGAGAGATACTGATTGTTATTTCTATCATACAGGCTCAACTGAGAGACGTTAGAACAGACGTTAGACGTTAGAAGAAAAAAAAAATCATGTGAGCAAGAAAGATTAAAATTTCATTGTAGGCTATTGGCTACAGACTAAACTTGATTTGTGAGGGATTTTTTATTTTTACTCATTCAAGGTAAGCCTTAAAAAAACAAACTTAATGAGCTCTTAATCGTTATTAAAATGCAAGCTGGTCTTATCCATAACACTCTAATTCTTAAAAGCAGAACAGTCTGAGTGTCTTTATTCTCCTATAGGTTTTCCGTTTAGAAATGACTCTTTTCTGAGCTCTACCCGGATCTCATAGCCACATTTCCCATTACCCAAAAGGAATTTTAATGGTATTCTCAGAGCAAAGTCGACGTGGTTGAGAGAGAAAGGGTTGCCATGCCGGTATCAGATTTACAACCATAAAAATACCTTCCATGAAACCGCTTATTTCAGCCACCATTTAGGTTAATGGGGCACTGGCATTTTGGAGGGAAAAAAGGAGTACATGTATATTTTTCCTGGGCATTTATCAGCATGGCCAAGAAGAACCCAAAAAAACTGGGTGGGAAAATATTCCCATGTTTGTCTAACCTTCAGGTTTCATACCATAGCTAATATTCAAACTAATCAAGAAAATCCACCCAGCCGAAACCGGTTTGGCTCAGTGGATAGAGCATCGGCCTGCGAACTGAAAGGTCCCAGCTTCAATTCCCGTCAAGGGCATGTACTTTGGTTGCGGGCACATCCCCGTATGGGGTGTGCAAGAGGCAGCTGATCGATGTTTCTAACTCTCCATCCCTCACTCTTCCTCTCTGTAAAAAATCAAAGTATATTTTTTTAAAAATCAAAGAAAACCACCTGAATGGTGTTCCCTTTTTCAGATTTTATTTTAGTTAAATAAGCCTCTTAGACTGTCCAAGTTGATCATTATGAGGCATATTTAAGCATCAGTGCACATAAGCATAGGGCAGACAATATCCAAGCCCTGACTCGCTATTGAAACCAGGCTCAGATGACAAAGATGATTAGGCTTGGACACTTAGGAAAAATGAAGGCAAAAACTGCACTGAGACTCTAAAAAAGTTTTTAAAAGCAGTTTTGACTCTTGGTGCTATCGTGGAATCACGCTGCCCTCGCTAGAGCGGTGGGGACTGGTGACACGTTTGCAGCAGAGCACACAGCTGGGAGAGAGCTGACAGCAAAACTCCCCATTCCAAGTGCTGAGAAGCTGATCTTGGACTGGCTACTTGCAGCCACATACAAATGCACAAATCCTATCCTTCATAGATGTCCCGGATGTGAAAAGGTTTGAGACACCTTGAATAAGAAAATCCTCAGCCCAAAACTCTTAAAATTATGAACTATGAGATAAGATTGCTCCTTTGTGATTGAAGGTCAAAATGCAGGAGAGTATTTCACGTGGCCTGGATTTCTAAGCCCCAACAAAGTGATCAGCACGTAGTGTTCGTGTTATTAAGAACTCTGTGGATGTTTTCTTAAATATTTGTTTTACTCTTACTGGATTCTAGTTAGGGAATCGTATTAATAAAATACTTGCTACAAAATTAGTCTGCACTACTGTTTTGTACTATGTCTAGCCGAGAAGTTCTTAGAAAATTAGAAGAGCTAAACATTCTTACAGAGGTGGTCAAAGGTTGACAAAGCATTAGCTCCGTCTTCCTCCTGGAGCTCATATCTCTCTGTCAAGGGCATATACCTGGGTTGCAGGTTCAGTTCTGGCCCCAGTGGGGGGGGGGGGGAAGGTATGCGGGAAGCAACCAATCAATATATTTCTCTCACATTGATGAGTTTTCCCTCTCTTTCTTCCTCTCTCTCAAAATGGAAAATATCCTCAGGTGAAGAATAACAACAAAAAAGAATTTGAGAAAATTCTATGTACAAACAAGAAAAGCCATGCACATATGGGTAGAGATATCTTTTAAAACATCCTACCGCTAAAAACAAAAACAAGGTCCACCATTAAATTTTGATTTTTAAAACACTTATTTTGAAAATGTGAAAATAAGTTTAATTGTGCCTTTTGAAGATATGACATACGTGACACTAAAACTGCTAACACTTTCCACCTGAAACTTGGGTTCTCACACTTAGGCCCACATTAAAATGTTTAAAATACACACACACACACACACACACACACACACACCCTTACCTTATCTTTGTGTTATCTTAAAAGAGTCCAACCTAGTAGACTTTGGCCAATATACTAAAACACAAATAGGACTAAAAAGGAGTATATAGTTCTCTAGGTGAATGACTATAAAAAGTTTACATTTAACATCAAGCCTCATTAGGAACTATAATAGAAACTCTTCTATAGTTTGAATTGGGGAAATCATTATAAGTAAGATTACCGGATCAAATGTCAAAAGTTGTGTTACGTTCTTTAGGAGACAGATGTCTTTGCAAATCAGGGCCCATGCTGTACAATGGGCAGCAGGGACTAGCTGCATGAGGAGGAAACAAATCCAGATTATAGGCCCAGCACAAAACAATCCACAATTATATGTTTCTGTTCATGCTACCCTTCTGTCTCTGAAATTCACCGGTGTACTGTCCCATGTAAACTCCAGCTGTCCCCATTATTTCTAGCCCATAAACCTTTATTCTGTCCTTTTGTACAGTAAGCCTGGCTAAGACTGGACTAACTGAAGCATGCAATCTGATTAGTTACCAAGAGGCCAGTTGTTCTGTTTATAACTTATGTGTGCTATTGCCTGTCTAGTTTTGAAACCATATTGGGACCACAGAAATTCTTCCCACATTTATACTAATAGTTTCACTCTAACCAACTTACACAGGTGCTGTGTGCCCATCATCCTGGGAACTCAGGATACAAAGATAAGCAGGGACACAGGAAAGACAGGGTAACAATAAAGTGTGCTTGAGTAAATCCAATCAGGAACATAATAACCCCCTGCCAGAGCCTCTGAAGGTTCTAAAAAGACGGATGTGTGGAACTTAATGAACAAAACAAACTGATGAACAAAACAAATCCAGAGACTTAGAAGCATGGAACTCCAGAATCTCAGAGGGAAGGCAGGGACGGGTGGCTGGGTGGGAAGAGATCAGCCAAAGAATTTGTATGCATATATGTATACAAATTGTCCATGGATTCAGACAGTAGGGTGAGGAAGGCCTGATTTTTTTATTTTTTGGGGGAGGAGACATTTGTGATACTTTCAACAATAAAGATTTTTTTTAAAAAAGACTGGAGAGAAAACCAAGATGGTGGCATAGGTAAACACCTGAACTGCTGCCTTGCACAACTTTAAAATTACAACAAAAGACAAAACAGACATCATCCAGAACCACAGGAAGCCTGGCTGAGTGGAAATTCTACAACGAGAAGGGAAGAAAAAAGCACAGAGACTGGAAAGTAGAGGTAGCGAGGAGCGCATGCGCGGAGAGGGCTGGCAACTGAGTGTGCGGTTGTCTTTTTCAAGTGGGAGGGAGAGGGGGTACGGGAAGAGACTAGACAAAAATCGTCCACCTATGGATGAGGACAATGGGGGTTAAGGGCAGAGGGTGGGGTGGGAACTGGGTGAAGGGGAGCTGGGGGGGAGAGGGAGAGGAATAATTGTAATAATCTGAACAATAAAGATTTATTGAAATAGGAGGGAAAATACTAAATGAATATGTAGAAATTAAAAGGGTACTGCCTGGCTGGTGTGGTTCAGTGGTTTAAGTGTCGACCTATCATTGATTCCTGGTCAGGACACATGCCTGGGTTGCAGGCTGGATCCCCAGTATGGGGTCTGCAGGAGGCAGCCAATGAGTCACTCTCATCATTGATGTTTCTATCTCTCCCTCTCCCTATCTGAAATCAATAAATATATATTTTAAAAAATGTTTTAACAAATGGAGGTAGGAAGCTGGATTTGTCCCAGGGGCCCAAATTTTGTTCACCCCCTGTCCTAGGGAGTCAGGGTCTTAAGAGTTCTAATCTGACCCTACAGTCATTCTAGACATGCCCATGGAAAGACCCCCAAACTAATAACCTGAGCTGCCTTTCCCAGCCAGTCCTGGCGCTGCCTGGCTCCCGCGGTCAGGGTGGCAAGAACACTGCCTCCACCCCCCTCGGGAAGCCTACCCTGAGGAACGGGGCGGGTGAAGGAACTGAGTTGAATTCAGCTGCAGGCGACCTGTCACATTTACCTTTTCCCTCAGAGATATTAACTTGCTCTCACTTAAAAGGCTTTGAGGGATATATGGTTTGTGTGTTAAGATATTTACCACTTCCAAGTTTCAAGCAGTTTCATTATTACACACACACACACACCAAAAAATAATTTTAGACGGACACAGTTAGTGCAAAGTACTTAATGCATTTTATGTTCAACATGTTGCATTTTTCCAAATACATCTCTTGCCTAATAAAAATGGAGGTATAGCTCCATCAGAAGGACTTACAAGCCTAATGTCCCTGTGCTAATTTTGTTGCATGTGATGTTATCCTTGCAACAGTACACTTATTAGCATTCATAATCCACGTCTTTGATTTAAAAAAATTAAAACACACACACACACACACACACTGTGTGCCTTTAAAGTCCTGTAGTATGACGGCCTTAACATTCAAGACATTTTATGAAGAAAAAATATTAGTCTTATTTCAGTGCACCCATAGTTCTTGGCTTCTCATTGGGAAGCTGCAAGATGTCCTTGAACAAGATCCTGCACACGGGACAGAATAATCTCATTCGAGCTGCTACAGTTTTCTGGACCATAAGGTGGGTCTATAGTCAGGACCCCAGCCACACAGAGGGTCCCTGGCGAATCTCCCTGTTCAGTGACCGGGATGTGGTTCTTCTCAAGCCATTTCCTCAGGCTGTTCCTTCTCTTTTCCAGATCCTCCGGGCTGAATGCCTGACAGTCTCCAGAGGCAAACAAATGCATCAGCTTCTCTCTTACTCCTTGGTCCCCTTCACTCACAGTCTCAATAGTCTGCACGGCGTGTCCCATAATCCCGGTCACAGACATGCTGCCATCTTCAAGGAAGTTCACGAGGACAATACTTCGGAGAAAAAGTAAGATCAGAGAAGATTTGCAAAAGAAAAACCTAAAGGCCCTTAAAACTGTGGAAGCAGCAATGGAATAGGAGGCATCAACCCCAGCAAGTCATTAGAATAATAGGGAATGCTCCTCTCACCACCAGATGTTTCCACTTGCTCAGTAAGCATTCATTGAGGGTCCTAAGCATCTAAACTTTTGTCCAGCCTAAAGCACTCATTGTGAAAGGCAGTGAAAGCATTACTTAGAGTTACAATAAAATGTAGTAGGAAATGTCTCACCCCGTTGGCGTGGCTCTGTGGTTGAGCATCCACCTATGAACCAGGAGGTCACTGTTCGATCCTGACAGGGCACATGGGTTGCAGGCTCGATCCCGTGTGGGGCGTGCAGGAGGCAATGATCGATGATTCTCTCATGACTTCTGTCTCTCTATACCTCTCCCTTCCTCTCTGAAATCAATAATATATATATATATTTTTAAATGTCTCGTTTCTAGGAACTTGGTTGGTCTGACAAGGTAATCCATAGGTAGAGCTGCATTTAGATTCAAAGACAATAAAAAAAAATTTAAGCAGGTATTTTAAAAAATATATTGTATTGATTTTTTTTTTTTTACAGAGAGGAAGGGAGAGGAATAGAGTTAGAAACACCAATCAGCTGCCTCCTGCACACCCTCTAACCTTACCGGGAATGTGCCCGAAACCAAGGTACATACCATTGACCGGAATCGAACCTGTGACCCTTCAGTCCGCAGGCCGATGCCCTATCCACTGAGCCAAACCAGTCAGGGCGACAATAAAATTCTTATATGGGAATAATTAGCCTTTCATTATCCGCTTTCTGAGTCTGTATATGAGAAGCAGCACAAAGGGGTGTCATGATTTCAGGGAAGCAGGACCCATACTCACTTGGCAGAGACGGGGTCTGTGGTTAAAACCCATCCTCTATAGTCCTTCTCACTTGCTGTCACTCTGACTTCTTTGTAAGTGTAATCGTGCCATTCTAAGGGGCCTCTCTTCGTCCACTCATTCACGGCTGCCATCTGGCTAGATCTAAAAGCACCACCAGTTCGGGTTGAAATCCGTTCCACCCCAGCAAATCCCTAATCTCCACCGCCTAGAGGTAAAGAAAACCTGTCATTGGCCTCCAGTTCCATATCAGAAAAACAGTTACAACACAGAATTTACCATTCGGCCTGAAAGCGGGGCCCAGTGTCCACCCCCATCCCGGTCCAGATCGCCGCCGCGCGGGCTCTGAAGGCCGGTCTGTGGATGCTCAAACCCTTCCACTCTGCTCTCCTTCCCCCAGAGGAGCCCACTCCACAGCACTTTTAGCCGGAAGTGGGAAGGAAAACTCAGCTCTGCACCCACTCGCTCCTTGGCTCTGTCTGCAGGATCTCTCCGGCCGATGGGTCACAACGTTCTCTTAAAGTTTGTTTGGAGGCCGCATAAACGAGCTCAGACTTCCTGGCACTTAAAGCCGTCCTCAAACCAGGTGGTCCTCAAAGTTTGATTCTCAAAAACGAGAAGAAAAAAAAAAAAAAGAAAGAAAAAGAAAAAAAAACAAACGCTTAAAACCGCTGGCAGCGCCCAGTACTCGGCAACCACGTTAAGAGGAAGAAGTCTCTCCCCGAGCCGAGCCCGCCGGGGCCCAGCATGCTTTGCGCCACATCGTCACTTCCTGCCCCCAGAATTCTCTGTTTTGTAGTCCTCGGCTGTAATCGAACCCAGAGGTCTGAGAGCCGCGGCCGGGAGGGAGTGCTGGAGGCTGGGTGCAGGGTGTGGGCAGGGAGTGAGGTGTTTTTTGTGCAACAGTAATAAGCCTTCTTGTTCGCTAGGGCCACCCCTCTCCACTGCCACGGTGGACATTTCAAAAAGAAAACTCGAAAGAGGAAAACGCTCGTGCCAGGTCCCCGTTGGTAGTAGAAATGGAATGCCACTGTTGCCATGGATTCAAAGCACATGAACCCTCCAGGTAAATCCTAAAGCTCCGGAAGTGTGAGGTGAAAGTGCCTTGGACAAAAGCGACAGAGCCCAGGCATTTCTTGTTTGCTCTGTGTAAGGCAATTTTAAGGCGCCTGCTCCTTTGGGATGTGTCTTGGTATTGGGTCCAGTCCTGCAGGAGGTGCAGAAGCTGGAAAGAAAAGCACGGGGTTTGATTGAATTCCACCTGACCAAAAACTCGCTATAAACGCCTCCACCCACAAGTGGAAAAGTGCAAAAAGACTAGTTCCAACCACAGGTTTCTGGTCGCCTACCTCGTTGGCTCCCGGTTGGCTCCTGAAAATGATACAAGGTGAACACTCAAGGAGACTTAGAAAAGCTGAATTAGAGGACTGTTAAACCACTGTGTAGCCCAGCCACGTGGCTCAGTCGTTGTGCTAGACTTATGAACCAGGAGATCACGTTTGATTCCAATCAGGGAACAAGCCCAGAATGTGGACTGGATCCCCAGTAAGGGAGCGTGCAGGAGGCAGCTAATCAATTATTCTTTCTCATCATTGATGTTTCTATCTTTCTCCCTCTCCTTTCCTCTCTGAAATCAATAAGAATATATATTTTTAAATACACACATTGTAGAAAACATTGAAAATTAACCAGCTTGGCTTAAGTTACCCCTTTTAAAGTGATGAGACAGAGCAATTTCTTTCCCTTCTCTCCATTATCCCATTAGTCTCCTAACTAAAGGCTCATTCTCAGCATCCTTGATGCAAATCACTGATGCAAATTCTCCCTAACACAAGTTCTCAGTAAGGAGAACTGTTAGTCTGTAGTGACTGAGATGAGATGGTACATGTGCTTTCCCCAGCCCACCCTTCCCCCCGTGGTCCATCTGATGTGTCCCTCATACCAGTTGGTGCCCATTTTCTCTCATTCTCTCCTTTTCTCCCTCTCTTCCCAGTCCCTCTTCCTCCCTCTCCTTCCTAAGGTCTGTCTCCCCCTCAAACCGTCACACAAACACTTAATCCCTTCTTCTGCCAATACCAAAATGGCTTATTTTAGATTTTGGATATATTTATTTTCATTTTAGCAAGAAATATTTCTTGCCCAGTGGGGTGTGGCTCAGTGGTTGAGCCTCGACCCAGGAACCAAGATATCACTGGTTTGATTCCCAGTCAGGGCATATGCCCAGGTTGCAGGCTCAGTCCTCAGTGTGGTTTATGCAGAAGGCAGCTGATAAATGATTCTCTCTCATTAATGATGTTTCTATCTCTCCCTTTTACTTCCTCCCTGAAATCAATAAAAATATATTTTAAAAAAAGAAATATTTCTGCCGAAACCAGTTTGGCTCAGTGGATAGAGTGTCGGTCTGCGGACTAAAGGGTCCCAGGTTCCATTCCGGTCAAGGGCATGTGCATTGGTTGCAGGCACATCCCCAGTTGGAGATATGCAGGAGGCAACTGGTCGATGTTTCTCTCTCATCGATGTTTCTAGCTCTCTATCCCTCTTCTTACCTCTCTGTAAAATAAATAAATAAATAAAATGAATAGAATATATATATATTTTAAAAGATATTTCTTAAAGTTTCCTAAATGCCTTGATAAGTTTAAAAATTGTCAGTGGTCTTTATTGTTCACTGTTCTTTATCATGGTGCAAAGATAAACCTGACCTGCCAGGCCTGAACTATCAAAAATTTCAATTCAGTGTTGGGTGGTCTTAAAAGTAGGTAAAAAATGAAGTGGTAATGGGTTGGCAATTTACCATTTTCATGTAAGCAATGGGCAGAAAAAAGTAACTCTAGTCATTTTGGCCCAAGACTTTTTGATGTTTTAGCTTTTCATTTATTCAACAAGTAGAACCTATTAGAAATGTCTGTTGTTGTTGTTAATCTTTACCTGAGGATATTTTTCCCATTGATTTTTAGAGAGAGTGGAAGGGAGAAGAAAAGGGAGAGAGAGAAACATCATGTGAGAGACACATCAAATGGTTGCCTGTACATGAGGCAGGGGATCAAACCTGCAACCCAGGTATGTGTCCTTGACTGAAAATTGAACCTCAACCCTTTGGTAGGTAAGTCAGAGTCTAACCACTGAGCCACTGACTAGGGCTACAATGGGTTCTTCTGAGGCAGTTTAATTGGGTTCCTGTGCACCACTAACTACTCATACCAGCTTTAGGGCTTTGGAAGTCCTTTGCCTTCTTAGATTTCTTACCTATAAGCAAAATGTGGGATTAGGTGGCCCAGTATCCTCTCAGCTCTAAATTTTCATGAATAAGACATACATGGTCCTTCCTAAGCCCTGCAAACCCTCTAAGGGCAGGGGCCATGTTTGTTTTGTTTACTACCATATATCTACATCTAGAGCATTGCCTAGTATTAGCAGGAGGTGCCCAGTTTGAATTAAATTCTTTATTTCTTAATCAGTTATATGGCACCTAATATGTGCCAGACATTATTTTAATAACTTTAAAACATGAACTCATTTTATGAGTGAATAAACCAAAAGAGAATGTGAAAAATCTGAGTGATGCAATGACACAATGAAATTGCTATGTTAGAATGACACTGAGAAATTGGATGTGGGTGAAAATAGGGAAATATCGAGCATATACAGCATGAAACTATGTAAAATGTAGCCTCTCTACTCAACAAAGCAGTGGTAGTATTAGGTGTGTGTGTGGGGAGGGATTCCAGAGCCACTTTTCAGTTGGGAGGCAGTATCTCCAGATAAATTCATTATCAGGCCTCCCCAACCTTGCCCAGAGGGGAGATTTTATAACTCCAGAGAGGGAAGATTATTTTCCCCTATTGGTAGAATGAAGATAGGACTTTCCTAGGATGACTGTGTTTTGAACAGGCTTTGTGAATTCTAATACACTAAACAAATGTACCATGTGGAAGTTTAGGACATGGCTACTTTGTACATTGCCTTCAAATACGACCAGATAATATCGTTATGGCTAAAAGTCAGTGCCATCTTTTTTCTTTTTTAATATATTCTATTGATTTTCCACAGAGAGGAAGGAAGAGGGATAGAGAGCTAGAAACATCGATGAAAGAGAAACATCAACCAGCTGCCTCCTGCACACCCCCTACTGGGGATGTGCCCGCAACCAATGCACATGCCCTTGACCGGAATCAAACCTGGGACCTTTCGGTCCACGGGCCGACGCTCTATCCACTAAGCCAAACTGGTTTGTGCCAGTGCCATCTTTTTTCATTTATTTCCTCTTATTCAATGAGGTAAACAATCTCAGTAGCAATAATATAGATTTTACATAATTTTATTTTGATTTGGAGGGGGGGAAAAGTGGGATTAACTGTTTTTATTTTTCCCTGTAATTGTCTTGGAATAATAAAAGGATATCTAGCCCTAGCCGTTTGGCTCAGCGGATAGTGTCAGCCTGCGGACCAAAGGGTCCCAGGTACCATTCCCAATCAAGGACACCGACCTATGTCGCAGGCTCCTCCCTGGCCCGGGCCTTGGTCAGGGGAGCCCCATCCAGGAGGCAACCAGTTGATGTGTTTCTCTCACTTCAATGTTTTCTCTTTTTCTTCCCCTCTCTCTTCCACTCTCTAAAAATCAGTGAGAAAATGTCCTCAGTGAGAATTCAAAAAAAAAAAAGGGGGGGGGGTGGTATCCACTACTTAGTTCCTAAAATTATAAAGAAATTGAACACTGCAGATATTAAACCTGGGCCAGTTCAAGGCCAGAACCTAGACTGTGACTAGCAATTTCACCAAAGAAATGTCAATCAATAGATTTCCTGTTAGATCTGCAGTCTTTTCCAAGTGATTCCTTATTCTCATTGTTGCCTTGTCACCTTTTTAACCGTGCCCCTCTGATATTATTTTGTACCCTGCTCCTCAGGGGTGATCGGGGCAGCTGCTGCTGCTTGGACCCGCTGGTGGCACCGGCTCCAATCGTGCCCTCAGCGGGTGCAAGTGGGCCTGGTGCTGACCGCTCATGGGAGCAGTGGTGGTGGGGGGAGGGGGCTGCCGGCAGACACCTGAGGTTTGCAGCAGGAGGGGCTGGGCGGGGGCACAGAGGATGGGCCAAGACCTGCCCCTGTGCCTACCACAGCCTCACGGCCCACAGTTCCCTTCAAGGTGCACTGGGCCCTTAGTCTTTTATAATGCACATCATCTGCCTTTTCTTTTTCAATAATGTACATCACTCCATTTGCCAGTGTAAGGTATTCCATTTTATAGGTATGGAGAGGAGGAAAGAGGGAAAGGGAATTTCTTGTTACATCAGATTCTTAGTAGCTGCCTCTTCTTGGATTTCTCCCACAAAGGAATTATTTTCCTGCCTGTTAATTATCTTGCTGACTGCAGATACTTCACTCACAGTAAACAAAACTACACTTCGTATTCTAAATCACTTTGCTTTTGCTATTTGTTGAAGAGCTATATGAGTCTTAAACTGTAAGCGGGCTTCCATGGAATAGTCTTTATAGTTTTTTATGTTGTCCAGGTTTTTCATGGCACTGCTATAATCTCCTTTCAGATAGTGCAGAATCCCCAGCTCGTAGTAAGTGTACGGCACCAAATAGTGGTCATATTTTAGCAATTTCTCCTTTTGGATGACACGATTGAAGTACTGCTCAGCCACCACATATTTGCCCAAGTGTTTCAGGCAGAGACCCTTCAGTAAACTTAGCAAACATAGGTCATCCGTGCCATACTCTTTATTTGGTCTTTCTCGTAAAAGTTCTTCTCCTCGGTTAATTATTGCAAGCCAGCATGAAATCGGGTATAGTCTTTTGCTCATGACTTGGAAACCACTCCAGGCATACATGAATTCCAGGATGGGCTGTGCCAGAAACCAGCCTTCAGTACTGCCATAGCGCTGACCCTTCTCAGCAATGAACTTCTCTATGGGCACAGACGCGCCTAAAAGTTTGATTCTCAGGCTCTCCACACTTAAGAAGAGAGAGTTCATGTCCTTGCTTTCTGACTTAGCAAACCCCGCAGGAAGCAGAGCCAGCAGCACAGCTTTGCTGTATGAATACACTGCCTTGGACCACTTGCTGTCTTGAAGCAGCATATCGGCATAGCGGTAGGCCTCCTTCCAATCCTGCACAAAAATGTGGCACCACATGAGCTCCCAGTAACAGATGTGGTCAAGTTGCTTCCATTCGTTCCGAATAAAAATGCACTCCTGCAGTGCTAACTGTGCATTCTCAAATTTCCCTTTCAGCATGCTGAAGCGTGCATGAAAAAATTTGAATATGACACACTTTGGAAATTTCTGGAGATAAGTTAGGAAGAGATGGTCTATGGGATAACTGTGACTTGTTTCAATACCGAAAGCTACGCAGGCATAGCTGTAATAGAAGAGCAGAGTCAGAATACTTAAGACATTATTGATGTGGGATTCAGAGGCACTCTCGTGAAGCAGAGTCAAGGCTACCTGTTTATCACCATGATATCCAACAACGTTGAGTAACTTAAGTGTCTTTGGTGGCATGAGGGACAATATCAAATTGAATGCTCCGAGTCCGAATTTTACACCTCCAACCAAGTGTCTAGAGGTTTTGCTTTGGTTGGTGGGTATCTGTGTTAATATTTGTTGACAGTCTTTGTAGATTTGGTAACTTAACCCGATGTTGATCCCACTTTTAAGAAAGCCAAGCATGCTGTCATCCTGGATAAAGGTCACAGCAGATTTCAAGATCAAGCACTCTGCATAGCAGACTTCAGCGTGCAGTTCCTCTTCTTTGATAGCCTTTATGCCCTGCTTACTCACTAGACGAGAGAAACTAGTCATCCTGCCTTTCCTTCGGAAGCTGTTACAAGTTTTCAACGCTTCTTTGGCGGCAGTCATTCCAATGTCTATATCCTGCGGGTCAAAAGTCAAGATGGCTTTCACCACCATGAGGATGCTGTTGACTAGAGCATGGTAGATGCTGTTTTTTGACCACGGGTAAATGAGATTTATGGCATCTGAGAATCTGTTATTGAGAAACAAATACAACCCAGTCGTGCATTCTTCCAGGGAAGATACTAGATCCATTGTTGTTGCCGCAGGGATAATTTCATAGGCGTCTTCATACGTGTCGTCCTTGTCATTTTCTTCTTTCCATAAAGGAAATGATGTAATGGCATCGTTCTTATAATTGTCTCTTTTGCTTAGAATACGTGACATATTCGCTTTCTCACTCTAGAGGTGAGAGATATTTGGCTGCAGTGATGAAGCTTCTGTTCTGATTGGGTCACTTCTTCCACAACCTGACGTGTTGGTATTATAATGGAGGCAAACAAACTTAAGAGCTGTAGGTATAGCATTAGGATATTCTTATCTAGATCAGACAAACGGGGGAAAAGATAACATTAGTTACCTCGAAGATGTATTTGAAAAATTCAAATCATTTGAAATGTACTAAAAAAAAACACAAAAAACCCTACACACGTTTTTTAACAACACTGTGAAGTAAATCCTTTGTAAACAGATGAGCTATTTTTTAAAAATATATTTTTATTTATTTCAGAAAGGGAGGGAGAGGGAGAAATAGAAACATCAATGATGAGAGAAAACCATTGATTGGTTGCTCCCTGCGCACCCTACACTGCAACCCAGGCATGTGCCATAACCAGGAATCAAATCATGACCTCCTGGTTCATAGGTCGATGCTCAACCACGGAGCCATGGAGATCTCTTGTTAAGACACCAAGGTGGCCAAGTTCCTTTCATGAATATTCTTTTTTTAGAGAGAAACAACATAAATGATTAGTTGGAGGCTTGATAGTTTTACAATTTCCCACTTTTTAATGCAATCAGGCATTCCTCAGAAAGCCTCACTTTCCCTTGATTTTTATAAAATCACCCTATTGGTTGATATTTGTGTTAGCAGGTACTCCTGCATCCCATTTTCCTTCTGCCTAGTTTCACTCTTTGATGTTGGACAAAGCACTGGCTTTCTTTAACTGTTACCCCCCCCCCCCACTTCAGTAATGATTATGGTCCAGTATTTGGCTAATGAGAAATTAATTTCTTTATACAATACAAAAATATATATATAAATTTGCCTATAATAATTTTTCCTTCCCAGAATTCTTAACTGCATTCTAGAAGAAACAGAAGATTAGGAAATACGGGGTGTTGGGAGGGAAAGAAAGTTGTAGCTGAGCATAACTTGACCTTCATACATCCATACTCAGCACATAACATACATAAATAAACATTAAAAGACTAGTGTTTGTAACTACAGACTATTTCATTATATTGACAATTGGTACATGTGCAAAAGGTCTAACCTATATTTTCCTGTTTTAAGGTTTTCACATCCAAGCTAAAATGGTGACAATGACTTAAAAGTGAAACTAAAATGGAGAAGAAAATAAGTAAACAAAATGAACTGTTTCTTGAATGCTCCCCTGTAAATACCGGTCTAGGAAATGCAGATAAAATGTGAAAACTGCTGTAAAAGGATTAAGAAATCCCAGCCCCCCCCCCCCAAAAGCTAATATTATCCATGTTTAACAACTGTAATGTGTTAAGAGCTACTTAATATTTCATATTAAAAAATATTAGAATATTTGTTGAATTGAATTAGTAAGTAGCTTTCACATTCAAATTGAACCTGGGAATGTGGTTTTAACACAGAATCCTAGAGGCAAAAATGTAGGTGAAACTGATTTTAAAGGACCAGCAGGAATAGAAGTACGCTACAATAAAACCTCCCCGATTTAGATTGACATTTAGTGAAAAGAGTGGGTTTACATGTTCGTAGAACAAGAGTGTTTAGTATAAAATGTACAGAAATAGTGTACAGTATTATTTATTTTTTTAAATGCAATTGATTTTAAGGAGAGAAAGGGAGGGAGGGAGAGAAGGGGAGAGAGATAGAGAGAGAGAGAGAGAGAGAGAGAGAGAGAGAGAGAGAGAGAGAGAGAGAGAGATCTCAATGTGAGAGATCAGCTGCCTCTCATACACTCCCAGGCATGGAGCCTACAATCTGGGCATGTACCCTGACCTGGATTCCAACCAGCGACCCTTTGGAGCCTAGGATGACTCTCAATCAACTGAGCCGTACCGGCCAGTACTAATATGTTTTTCATGGCACCTGTGTTAGCAAAGCCCAGACTAGAACTGGCCCTCTTGTAATAGAGGTAAATAATATGTAATTGGCTTATCAAAGTGCCTGTCTCCAAGACAGCAGGCAAGTGAGCCAGGGTTACCCCTTTTTCTTCTTTTGTGCTTGAAAGCAGTTTGCTGTAAGTTAGAAAATTGCTTCTTTTCATGTTGTTAGTGTTATTATTTGCCTAGAAATTATCTTTTATACAGTAGACTTTTTATTCAGAGCCAAAAATATTTATTGAGGCCTGTTAGGAGCTAGATAACATAATTATCTTTTCCATCCAAGTACTAACCAGACCTAACCCTTCTTAACTCCTGAGGTCAAACCAGATCTCGGACTTTCAGAGTGGTATGGCCAGTGATTAGTAAGTACTCTCTTCCCATAAGTTATTTATGTTTTGTCCAACAGCAATTTTCATAAATTCTTAATAGGAGGAAGTTGAATTAGGCTTTATAAAACTTATACTATATTCGATCTTTCAGGGAGGATGTAAAAATATCTTTATCATTTAACTCTTTTAAGACAAACCCTGATAAGTAGATGACTACAAAGATTAACAAGGTTAATAGAGAACAAATATAACATACTGCATAGAACTGATAGGGGCTCAGAGGGAATGGTGGGGTACCTATAATATTCATAGATATTATTAATCAAGTCTGTCCTGTGTTGGTCAAAGACAGTAGACTGACTGGTTGCCGGGTCAGGATGCTAGATGGCCTCTGGGAATTTGCCTCAGGAATGCTGGCTATTCTCTGATTCCGGGAAAGGGCTAAGCTGTTTTTTGTTTTTGTTTTTGTTCTTTTTTTTTTTTTTTAATGTTTTTATTTATCTCCTTTTTATTTATCTCAAAGAGGGAGGGAGAGATAGAAACATCAGTGATAAGAGAATCATTGATTTGCTGCCTCCTGCATGCCCCCTACTGGGGGTCAAACCCATAACCCAGGGCATGTGCCCTTGACAGAATAGAACCTGGGACCCTTCAGTCTGCAGGCCGATGCCCTATCCATTGAGCTAAACCAGCTAGAGCTAAGCTGGTTTGACATTGTAAAAAGATTAACTACCTTGTTATTGGACTCTTTAAGATACTGGAAGCAGACACACTGATCACATACCCCACAGCCCTTATCCTGCTATCCCCTCCCCACTGTGCTTAGCTTTGCTTTCTTACCCCTATGGAAGCAGCCAACTGGCAGGAGATGTTAGAGCAGTTTTTCAGGTACCAAGCGCACTGCTTTCTCCGATAGCTGGCAATTCAAATAAACACTCATGAAAAACTCAACCTTGTCTCTGCTTATTGGCTCAGTGGCAAGAGGAAGTAATAGGCTTGTTGTGTCTGGTACCGGAACTTCTATTTTCTTGCTAGAATTCTTTTTTTTTTTTTTTTTTTTAATATATTTTATTGATTTTTCACAGAGAGGAAGAGAGAGATAGTTAGAAACATCGATGACAGAGAATCATCGATCAGCTGCCTCTTGCACACCCCCTACTGGGGATGTGCCCGCAACCAAGGTACATGCCCTTGCCCAGAATCGAACCCGGGACCTTCCAGTCCGCAGGCCGATGCTCTATCCACTGAGCCAAACTGGTCCCGGCTCTTGCTAGAATTCTTGAGACAGATTATTTTTTTTCCATAATTTGATAAATCTGAAAAAAATATGTATAAATTCATGCCATAACCAGGAGAGAATCCATATTTTATTCACCTGAATAAAGGCTTATTCAACTAAGCCTCTCCTATACTCTGTATCCAACATCTATATATACCAAGTGAAGATATAGCAGATTAAAAAACAAGTACAGCCAGGACCGGTTTGGCTCAAGGGATAGAGTGTCGGCTTGGGGACTGAAGGGTCCCGGGTTCGATTCTGGTCAAGGGCATGTACCTTGGTTGCGGGCATATCCCCAGTAGGGGGTGTGCAGGAGGCAGCTGATTGATGACTCTCTCTCATTGATGTTTCTAACTCTGTATCTTTCTCCCTTCCTCTCTGTACAAAATCAATAAAATATATTGGAAAAAAAAAAAACAAGTACAAATACTTAAGGAATTGCTCTTTTATGTGGAACATTTCCAACTTGTGTATCCCAATTATTTATGGTGCAATGTCTTTTTTTGGTGGATGGTAAAAAAAAAAAAAAAAGTTAAATCTGTATTTGTAGAATTGGTGTCTGGTAAATGCAATGTGTAAAATCAAAACTGGATTCTAAGCGATTCTAACAAAATGAAAAGGTTTCCATTTATTTGCTCTATAGAGTGGCTTAAGCAGCAAGAGGCTGCTACTGAAAGACTTGCCCTGAGTGTGGCGCAATTGGTTAAGCATCCTCCCATGCACCAGGAGGTCACCAGTTCGATTCCTACGCCCGGCTACAGGAACAATCCCCAATAGGGGGCTTGCAGGAGATAGCCTGTGGATGTTTCTCTCATTGATGTTTCTAACTCTCCCTTCCTCCCTCTGAAATCAATAAAAACATTTTTTTTTTTTTAAAAATCCTTAGGAACTGAGTCTTTAGTGGATGTGTTACCCAACACACACACACACACACACACACACACACACACACACACACACAACTAGAGGGGAAGCACAAATCAATTGTGTTTCAAATGCAAATAATGTCAGAATTGCCACAAACCACTAGCCTGAACATAACTGGTGGCTTTAAGGAGTTAGGGTTTTGCCCCTGCCGGTGTGTCTCAGTGGTTGAGTGCTGACCAAGGGTCACCGTGGGATTCCCATCAGAGAGCCAGCGGGGGTTGAGGGCTCCATCCCCAGTAGGGGGCGTGCAGGAAGCAACCAATCAATGATTCTCATCATTGGTGTTTCTCCCTTCCTCCCTGAAATTAATAAAAATGTTTTCTAAAAAATAAGGATTTAGTGTTTTGTCACAATTTCATTATAAAACACACGCGCGCGCGCGCGCGCGCGGCACACACACACACACACACACACACGAGATAACCATTCCTTTGTCCCCCAGACCCGAAGAAGTCAGAGCGTGTTGGTGCACATGGGTAGCTGGTTCTTAAGGGATTTTTAGGGTGGGTAAGCAGGGCGGGATGCCCCTAGGGGCTTCATCCCTTTTGAGGCCTACAGTGTAGAGACCGCTACTCAGAATAGCGGGTTCCTGGAATTCTCACCGTGGCCGAACTCCCGGTTACCTCTGATGAGCCCCCAAGATCACTGAGCATTAGCCTAGGCCAGGTCCCCGCAGCAGAACGGCGGCGGCGGCGGCGGCTGCAACATCGGCCCTTCGCAGGCCGGCCTAATGCACCTGCAATAACATCGCCAGCGCCGAGGGTCCCCGGAGTCGGGGGGAATCGAAGGGGAAAAGGAGAGGGGAAAGGGGGCGGGGAGGGAAATGAGGAAGGTACAGGAAAAAGGGGGGGAAGGATGGGGCGGGGACACCGCTTGGGAAAGGCCGAGGGTTTTACTGGCGAGATTCTGGCGTTCCCATGGAAACGCATCCCTCCGCTTGTGATTGGCCCCTGACGCTCCTCAGTCCCCGCCCACTTCGCGCGCCGCCGCTCGGGCGCTGTTTCCGCCCAGCTCCTTTGTGCCGCGCGGAACGCGGAGACGACGCCTGCGCAGAGCAGCCCGGCCGCCGTGTATATAAGCCGGAACCCAGGCGCTTCCTCGTAGTGCCGCTGGGACCGTTGGCGCGCAGAGGTCTCTGCAGCTCCTTTTTGTGCGCGTGTGTGTGTGTGTGTCACTCGTATCCTGGGCTCTGCGAGCTGAACGAGCCTCGCTCGCGGGCCAGTCATGTCGCGCTACGGGCGGTACGGAGGAGGTAAGCAGGGGTAGGGGCCCGGCGAGGGGACTGGGATCGCGGGGGCTGCGAGGACCGGCGAGGCCACGGGGCTGGCGCGGCGGTTGGGAGACGGTTATTCCGCGTGCGTAATGGCGGCCTCGGCGCACGCCGTACGGAGCCGGAGCAGCGGGGGCGGGATGATGAGGGGAGGGCGGGTGTCGGTCTGGTCTGGGTCAAGTTCTAGGTCCATTCCTGGGGCCCTTTCCGCCTCGCGCTCCGGCCCCCTCAGCCAGGCGCACGTCCGCCGCTTCGCTGCTGCCGCCCTTCGAGCCGCCGGCCGTCTCTTCCCGCTCCCCCCCCCCCCCCGCCCTCGGCTGCCATTTTGCGCACAATCACGAGCGTGCACGGTGGCGCATTTCCCCGCCGCTTTCCCGCCACTTTACAGCGGGGAGCCTCTGGCCGCGGCCCTCGGGGTCCCCGCGGGCGGCTCGGAGCCCGGACACGCCCGGCGGCTCGGAGCCGCGCTGCCTGGTGCCGCGGCCGGCCGGGCTGCGGAGGGGCGCGGGGACTCGCGCTTTGCCGCCGGGCGGCCGGCCGGCCGGTCTCTCTTCTCGCAGTTGCGCTCTCGGGCGCGGCTTGTCGCGAGGCGGGGAGCTGGCGTCTCGGGCGAGCCCGCGCCCGGGGCGGTTACCGCGGAGGACGGGAGCCGGCGCGGCCCTGCTCCCCGGTCCGGCCCTCGGCGGGGCCCGCGCGCTCCGGGCCCCGAGGCCGCCGGGCCCCGGGGGGCGGGACCGGGCGGGACCGCCTGGCGCTCGGAATACCCTGCCACGCTCGTCTGCTCCCGTGTTTCCCCACCATGTTAGAACGTTAGGAGCCTCGTCACACGCCTCGTCTCCTCGGGCATTCACCGACTCTGCCGGTTTTGGGGCCCCGTTCGGTTCTCGGTAGAGCACGAAATGCGCCCGCGGTGCACAGAAGCTTTAAGGGTGCGCGGGAGAATCCATTCAAACTCTCGGGTCAGATGTTTGCATAACGTGCGTTGTTCCTCTGCCTGCCTTCTTTTAAAACAGAAACCAAGGTGTATGTCGGTAACCTGGGAACTGGTGCTGGCAAAGGCGAGCTAGAAAGGGCTTTCAGTTATTATGGCCCCTTAAGGACGGTGTGGATCGCGAGAAATCCTCCGGGATTTGCCTTTGTGGAATTTGAAGACCCTAGAGATGCAGAAGATGCTGTTCGAGGCCTGGATGGCAAGTAAGTGAGATGGCCAGTCAGGAAACCTGCTGGATAGTCTGCTGGGCTGGGGGATGAGGTAGGCGCTGAGCTGAGGTTGTGTGGTCTAGAGGAACATGCAAATTTGATCTGCTTAAGGAAGGGAGTAGAGGTGGGCCTGCAAAGGGCTACAAAGATAGCGGAAGCCTGTGAAAGCAGAGGCATGGAAAGTTCTAAGTCCAGAGGTTGTATGGGTGTGTTTTTAGTATTAGAATTTTGTTGCTTCTGTTTTACAGGGTGATTTGTGGTTCCCGAGTGAGGGTTGAACTATCCACAGGCATGCCTCGGAGATCTCGTTTGGATAGGCCACCTGCCCGACGTCCCTTTGATCCAAATGATAGATGCTATGAGTGTGGTGAAAAGGGACATTATGCTTATGATTGTCATCGCTATAGCCGACGACGGAGAAGCAGGTATTTATTTTAAAGAAATGGTTGGTGTACTGGTTAATCAAGTAATTCTTTTATTAGCAAGGCAGAAACTAATATTTTTATATAAATTTGAATGTTAATTGTACAGGTGTATTTTTACAATTTTTTTGTTTAATTAAACAAATGTTAATATATTAATAATCAACCTGGTCAAAACCTTTCAGGTTTCTTCGTTTGAGTCAGTCGCCTTGATTCAGAATGTCACGAGCCTTATGATATGCTGAGGCGCCTTGCAAATCCGACAATTAAGATCCTCCTAGACCTTGAGGTGATCAGCATAAGAGGCCAGATCCCCTCGAGTCATCTACACCTAGCTTCACCTTATTCTTTAAAGGGCAGAAAATTTGAGTCGGTGATCGCCGTAACAGTAAATTTGGCTTACAATTGGGGCCCCCTCCGGTTTAGAAAGAGGAACAACAGATTGACCACATTTCCAACTAGAAAAATCTTCTTGCGTCAATCAAGCCTCACCTGGCTCATTTGGCTGTCAGTTTGATCGTCGTTAGATTGAAGAAAACATCTAGATGCAGCGATCGGCTATAGATACTTCTAGATCGTCTAGATCTACTAGACCATGGGCCAAAGAGGGTCGACCTGCAAACTTGCAAGGTTTATTTTAAATACACATTACAGTGCTTTATATTATGTAATTCTAAGATGTAATTCAGCTTTTAACAAATCTTTTTTTAGGTAGTTTAAAAAAAAAAAACTGGACAACTAATAGGCCCAGAATTTATTTCCAAATGAGATAGTAAATTTAAATAGTTTGAGACTTGATTTCAGCAGAGGGACACAAACTACAAATACGAGTTGCCATCTAACATTTTGTTATTTTTCCCAACTTGAAAAATAGGTCACGGTCTAGATCACATTCGAGATCCAGAGGTAGACGATATTCTCGCTCAAGGAGCAGGAGCAGGGGAAGGAGGTAAGAGATCTTTAATGCAAGTTTTAGTAAGCAATAAAAGACTTTAATTGGAGATGGACCTAAATCTCTTTGTTTTAATTTTTAGGTCGAGATCAGCATCTCCTCGAAGATCAAGATCTGTATCTCTTCGCAGATCACGATCCGCTTCACTCAGACGATCTAGATCTGGTTCTATAAAAGGATCGAGGTATTTCCAGTATGTACCATTTTTACCCCCGCTTATTTTTATTTGGGTTGTCACGTCTTAATGACAAAAGTAGAGTGTCTTAAGGACATAATTTGGCGTGATGGGGGTGAATTTGAGACCTTAGAAAGTTTAGGGGAAATAGTAGTTTACATATGGGTGAGCATGGCTTGTTTAGCCAGACACTTAGACACTGAAATTAAGAAGGTAGAAATCAAACAAGGAACTTCACCTCTTTTTACTTCCTTTGAAAAAGACCTGTAAAGGTGATAGAAATGAATAATGTCTATAAAATAAGGAGTTGACAGTATTACAGAGGATGATGAGTCTCCTAGGTAGGAAATGCCATTGGGAGATAGTTTTATAAATCTTTAAATGCAGAGATTCTAAAACTTGTGGTCCATTTGCAAAAGCTCTGGACCCCCCTCGCTAGACAAATGAATTTAATTTGATTGTTAGATCTCATATCAATCTTAAATGAAAACCATCTTCTTGTCTCTTGGATACTTAACTGGCAGTCTAGCTCATTGGGTATGGTAGAAGCAAATAATTAAAATAGTAGTTCCTTATTTATTTGTTATTAGACCTTGTTGAAAATGTGACAATTTGTTCAATCTTAGACTGACAAAAAGCAAGCATGGCATCTTGCTCAATTTTAGTCTCTGTTCCAAGGCTGCCTAACAAGGTGCTCAGAAGGTGTTTAAGGAAATTACTAGTGTGGGCTAATTGGTGTAATTTTTGTTTTTAAGATCACGGTCAAGATCCAGATCCAGATCCAGATCTATTTCACGACCAAGAAGCAGGTAAGGGTGAAAAGTTGAACAATGCTCTTGTAGTTATATGGCACCAATATCCAAAGAGTTCAAAGTGTATTGAATTGTTGAGGCTTCAAGTGTTAGCCCTAAGCCTAGGTGTTGAGTGGGAACCTAATACCTTGTTAATGAACTAAACTTTAGAACTTCATTTGTACATGCCTTTTCTGGATGATTTCCTGGACAAGGGAATGTCAAGATATAGTGAGAAAGCAGTTTGTAACTTTGCTGTTAACACACCCTTGTTGGAACTAATAGGTGCATGGAGAAGCATTCTGAGATAGGTGAGCTTTAGGCAGATGAATCATAAAAGCAGTTCATTTTATGAAGATTAGTTGGAAGATGGGCTTTTGCTAGCAAAATCTGATGGGCTTTTTTTTTTTTTTTTTTCCAGTTTAATTGCAGCCTGATGTTTTTAATTTCAGGACATTTTGGGGGTTCATTTCATGGTATTGTGACTAAGAAAGGGATTGGTTAGTACTTTCTCTTAATAGAATTTCTCATGTTTTGACAGCCGATCAAAGTCCAGATCTCCAACTCCAAAAAGAAGGTAAGCTACATAATTTGTTGTCAAATTTTAACTGTCAGATGTGGCCTCTGCTGGATTTGTTTGCTTCCTGCCTACTTTGCAGGCTTTGATTTTGAGCTCTTTGGAAAATTGGTGCTATATATATATATATATATATGTAAAAATATTAAATACTAAGTTTTTTAAAGGATTGCTTTTCCTGTTTCATTATCACCTTATACTTTATTGGAAATATTTAGTCATAAAATGTTAGAGTGATGATCAATATGTGTTTAGTCTTGTGAACCCTTAATTGTATAATTTCATGTTAAGACACATGCTTTCCCCACACATAGGAGACAGTAATAGGTAAAAAGGAAGTGAAGAAAAATTTGTAGGTTGAGATCTTGAGGCTAAAACTATTATCCATGTAGTTGCTACTTAATAACCCTCCCAAAGGAAAAAAAACCCCAAAATTCAAATAGTTAGCAAGGATGCTAATCTTAAACAGGGACAAATGACTTATATATAAATCTTTCTCAGAGAGAGGAAGGGAGAGAGATAGAAACAAATGAGAGGGAACACCAATCAGCTGCCTCCTGCATGCCCCTTACTGGGCTTCATACCTGCAACCTGGACATGTCCCCTATCAGGGGATGGAACATGACCTCCTATTTTATGGGTTGCCACTCAACACGCTGGCCAAGCTATTTATGATTTTTAGATCTCTGCTACAGAAACTTAAGTTTTTTTGGCCACCTCTGAATTTATTGAAACATGTTCGAGTACATTTCAGTGGACACTAATGGGTTCCAAACCTGATGCTTTTCTTTTCAGTCGTTCCCCATCAGGAAGTCCAAGAAGAAGTGCAAGTCCGGAAAGGGCGGACTGAAGTTCTCACGTTCACGTTTTAGGGAAAAGTTATTTTGTTTACATTATTATAAGGGATTTGTGATGTTTGTAAAATGTAACCTAGGAAGGCTATTTCAACCATCTAATCAAAATGGATCTGCAGCAGTAAGATAATATAAATTTTTGTTGAATGTATTAACATCTTATGGTTTGCAAATGTGAGTTTTTATTTGGCACATTTAAATAAAATGTTTCTAACTAGATTTTTGATCTGTGTTCAATATTCATACTTAAGCTTCAGTAGTCAATCTTGATAGCAACCATATAAGTACAGACCGACATTCAAAGTTTAATGGTGTGATGCCTTCAACGTCATTAGCTGTAGTTATTTATACACTTGGAAAATTCCCTTTTACCTATAGAGGTTTGGTTAAGATAACAATTCAAATCCTTCTTAATAGCATGAATGCATCATGACAAGTCCCTGAATTAATTGGATTTATATATTATCAGGCTAATGATATTGACCTGTTAAGCAAGAGAAACCTCTGATTTGTCTATAAGCGTGATAACTAAACCAAGAGTTTATTAAAGGAGTAATTGGACTCAATGCTTGAGGAACTGGATTATTTTTTAAAACTATTTTTAAGTACAGTGACAGGTTTTCAGGCTATTTGATGGGATAATGTCAACTTATTGTAGAAAGTTCTCAGTGTTACTTGAGACAATTTTATAACATTTTTGCATGTTTGAGGAATTGTCTAAATTTGGGACAAAACATGTAAACCAGCTTTGCAAAATTTTCCAGACACTTCTCAATCCCTACAAATGGATTGCCTTATTTTGAGCAGAGATCTGTTCATTCTAAGCTAGATTTTTTCAGTTCCCAACCACCAACATAACTATCTTATTTTGCCAGGCTGGTGCAAAGTGATTAAGGATGTCAATCAGAAATGGTCATGGGACACAGTTTTGTAAATCTCACCTATATTAGCAATACCTTATGTAGTTTTTGGTAGCATCAGGTAGACCTGAGCCTATTATAGCCAGTAGATTATTTAGACTAAATGTCTTGTAGGGCAGTAACAATTATTTGAGTTTCCTGGTCAAGCTTTTCCCAGGTATTCTCTAGCCTTGGTACAAAAAAAAAAAAAAAAAAAAAGTGCAAAATGATGAATGCTGGTGGCACAGGTATCTGCCCTTGTCCATTTCTTTATGTTTAACAAAGTTATTGGATAGCATTGCAATGTGGGAATACTGCTCTGCCATGTGGGAATACTGCTCTGCCTCCAATTATTTGGTCTGAATGATCACTAGTATGTTGGGAGTTGGGTACATTGTTTTTGGAATTTTGAAAACTGGCTGAATTATGGTTGGTATAAAGCTGTAATTGGCAGGCTTATTTGTTGCACTTGGTCGGCTTTAACTGTTCTGTATTATATAAAGATAAATTTTCTCAAAAATAAATGTGCAGAAAACAAATTATCATACTCAATTTTTGGAAGTGGGAGTTTTGAGCCAAGAATAGGAGTCATTTCTGTAGCTTTGGGACAGATTATTAGTAGTGTCCAAGTTATTAGTATGAGGGAAAAGATAGGGTAGGAGGGGTAGGGGCAAAAGTGGTTTTAAGAAACAAGCACAGAAAGTTCCATTCTTAGGGGAAGGGAAACATGGCAATTATCAATAGAGCCAAATATCAACAGTACAATTCAAGTTTTGTGGGTTTTTTAAAAATATATTTTATTGATTTTTTAAGAGAGGGATAGAGAGAAACATCGACGAGAGAGAATCATCTATCAGCTGCCTCCTGCACACTCCCCACTGGGGATGTGCCCACAACCACGGTACATGCCCCTGACCGGATCAAACCCAGGACCCTTCAGCCTGCAGATTGATGCTCTATCCACTGAGCCAAACCAGTTTTGGCTGAAGTTTTTTTTGAGAGCCAAATTTTTAAAGTTCTAATGCCACTTCAAAATAGACTCTCCCAGGCTGTGGTAGTTTATGGAAGAGCCACACTCAAGGGGCCAAAGAGCCACATGTGGCTCAGGAGCCGCAGTTTGCCTACCACAGATCTAGGTGAACACCTTTCATACCATTGACTACAACTACCGTGTTTCCCCGAAAATAAGACATCCTCCCAAAATAAGACCTAGCGCATGGAAAAGTAAGACATCCCCTGAAAATAAGATCCAGCGCAACTTTGGGAGCAAAAATTAAGACACTGTCTTATTTTCAGGGAAACGGTATACATTTGCCTGGATGTTACAAAATTTATTCAGGGGTACAACTCAGTACCCCTGTGTTTAAAATACATCTTTAAGTGTTACACTTACCTGGTCTGCTCACCTATGTGTAGAGAGGTAATTCACTTCACAGTGGTAGTTCCCTGTGGGCTTTGAGCTAGACCAAGTATCAAGTGATCCTACATCTTGCAGTGTCCCATCTGAACAAATTTGAGGGTCTTTAAATGCCATCAATTTGAGACTTGGTTAAGTAGTGGTGTAGGATTGTGATTTGTCATCTTCGTGTAACATGTCTTGAAGTCTAAAGGAGCACTGATTTCCCAAGATACATTAAAATAGTAGGTATAGGAAACTAAAACTGGCACTTATATGAATGAAGAATAATAGCAAAGAATTCATTAGATCTGGCTTAGCAACTGCTGCTTAGAGACCTTGGAAGGTGGGGCTATGTAACCTGGAAGGTTTATACATAATTGGAAAGATATGAAACAAAAGTCAAAGTTTCAAAAAATACTAGGGGCCTGGCTGGTCTTGGAGTGTGTTGAGAATTGATGACTAGGTATTAAAGCTGTTATGTCCAGAATTATCTATACTAATAAAAGCCGTGGGGGTTGATCAGGCTGGCAGGGAGGGCAGTTGGCAACCAGGCCATCAGGGGAGCAGTTAGGCCATAGGGGAGTGATTAGGAGGCTATCAGGCTGGCAGGCAGAAGCAATTAGGGGCAATCAGGCAGGCAGGTGAGCAGTTAGCCAGCGGTCCTGGATTATGAGAGGGAGGTCCGACTGCAGTTTAGTCCCTGTGGGATTGGGCCCCCAGCAATCGGACATCCACTGAGGGGTCCCAGATTGGAGAGGGTGCAGAGCAGGCTGAGGTGAACCACCCCTCTATCCCCCTCTGCCCACCGTGCATGAATTTCATGCACTAGGTCATTAGTCTTCAATAAATAAAGGAACAAAAGTACTGATAGACAGTTTCAAAGCCTGAAAGTTTTTCCCCCCCATATCTTACAGGTTTATTGTTAGCATTCCAATAAAAATATCAAAGAACATTGTCACTTAATCCTTGCAACATATTAGTACTGTTAACCCCATCTCACAGAAGAGGAGATTGGTAACTTGGATCGGCGTGTTTGAATACTATTAATCTGCTAGGAGGTAGGAAAAGTTTGAATCCTACTTATGGTTTCAAAGACCTGGCTCTTTTGAATCAATAAAACACTATTACTCCTTTAAAACAAAATCACGTTATGGAAAAAACAATACACAACCAACGCTCCTTCCTACCCATTGTATATTATACCATTGTTAATAACTTGGTTAATAACTTTCCAGACCTAATGGGGAAACAATGATGAATAGAAGGATAATTCTGGACTATTTGGAATATAGTAGTCAGGTAATGTAAGGCCGGGTCTCACACTTACTGTTTTTTCCTACAGGCCATTGGCTTATTCTATTTTCATTTCGTTTTTAGACTTGGTAATATATTCAAGGTGTAGACAGTGAGAAGGCTCCCTATGCCACACCGTTATCTCCCAAAAGGCAACCATTGTTAACCACTTATGTAGCCAGATCATATACACATTTTCCCCCCTTTTTCCTTTTAACACAAAATGTAAATAAAATGGCACTCTTGTCTTTTTTTTATGTTTTATATTATTTATTTGCCTGGATGTTACAGAATTTATGCAGTAAAATTTTGTGCCCTTCAATGTGCTAGCTTGGGAATACAGAAGTGAGCAAAGTATCCTTATGGAGCTTAAATTCTGGACAGCCAAGTATTACCTCTAGATTCCCTGACTAAAGGGAATCTTAGTGACTAAAGCTTGAAGGTGGCTGGATGTGATCCCATACAAAAAAAAACCTGTTTTTATTTTGGGTTTTAACATATCCTCAGGAGATCTGGATCCCAGAAAATGAATCCTTTCATTGCCAAGGATCAAAGGGTCTGGCTGTGGGGAAAATACATATGGCAGAGGTCAAGGCATTCGGGCCAGTTTTTCTCAGGAGGACAGTAGTTCCTGGACAAGAATGTACTGCTTCCCTTGCTTATGAATGAATATGCTACGCTTTTTTTATACTGCTGTTTTTTTTTTAATACTGCTTTTTTTTCAGTGTACCTGCTTATTTGTTAGAGCAGGATTCAGGAAATTAGGGCCCACAGTCTAGATCTGGCTTACACTGTTTTCATACAGCTAATGAGCTAAGATGGTCTTGACATTTTTATGTGGTCGGGGGGTGGGGGGCTGGGGGGAGGAAAGGATACTAATAATACTTCAGGACATGAGAATGATGGGAAATTCAAATGGCAGCATCCATAAGGTTTTAGAGCAGTGGTTCTCAACCTTTCTAAGGCCATGACCCTTTAATACAGTTCCTCATATTGTGACCCTCCAGCCATAAAGTTATTATTGTTGCTATTTCATCACTGTAATTTTGCTACTGTTAATGAATTGTAATGTAAATATGTTTTCAGATGGTCTTAGGCTCTTCAGCAGTAGCAAAATTACAGTTATGAAGTAGCAGCAAAAATAATTTTATGATTGGGGGTCACCACAACATGAATTGTATGAAAGGGTCACGGAATTAGGTTGAGAACCACTGTTTCATAGGAACAGTCATGCTCATTTATTTACCTATTGTCTATAACTTTTTGCTACAATGCCAAGAGTAATTACAATAGATTATAAGTCTCACAAAGCTTAAAATACTCTGGCCCTTTATATAAAACTAGAGACCTGGAGCATGAAATTCATGTAGGGGGGTTCCCCTCAGCCCAGCCTGCACTCACTCTA